CTCTCTGGCGGTGCGCCCCCCTTGGTGTTCCTTCGGACTTCGTAGACTTACTTGGAACTTAGTGGGGGTTGGCTCCCAGGGGGTGCGGTCCTGGCCTTCGGGGCTCGGTCCCAAACCAGGCCCAGACAGGCAAACCGTGAGGACTTACCACAAGCAAGACCGTACCCAAACCAGGCCCGAGCAGGCAAATCGCAGGGACGTGTCAAGCGAAACAGAAGTCCTTCTCGTCCCGCTGCGGGCGCCCCCAGGCTGCGCCCGGCCGGGTCCAAAAGGGTGTGGGGCCGGGGGGTCATTCCGACCTGCTCCGTAGAGGCGGGGGAGGCCCTAAAACGACGCGAAGATCGGGGCAGAGTCGGATCGGGATATAACTCGAAATCTCTGAGAATCGGCGGGTTTGGAGGACGTGTTGGGCGCCGCGGCCGCTCCAGAGCGTTCCGGAACGCTCTGAGAGCGATGTGTCCCGATCCTGGCCCTGTTTTTTAGGCTCCATAGAAGGTGCGGGCCGCCTGCCCTATACGGGCTTCGGGGGGGGGGGGGGTTCTGGGCCCCGCAGAGTCTCGCGCCGCGCGCCCCGCGCGGTGGTCGATGGGGGTGCCAGGATCCCCGACCTCAGAGTCCAGCAGTGGCGAAGCGTCCCGGCTCGCCTATAGGCCTACCGATGAATATGATGACGAGATGCGTTGGGAGCAATGCGTTGTCATAATGAGTTCCACAGAGCATAATCGAGTGGGAAGCACAGCCCACCAGACTAAAGTTATCCTCTCTTTACCCTTCTTCCTCCTCCTCCTCCTCCGCCTCCACCTCCGTCTCTTCCTCCTCACCCCTCTTACTTCCAGTGGGTGAGCGCCGAAGCGCGTTCCAGAGAGATTAATAAGCCTTAGTATCTCGATTCTCTGGCCTCCGGAGGCCCGAAACAAACATTAGCGGATTACAAATTGATTTCTTTTGTTGTTGAATTACAAAAGGGAATCCTTTTGTGGTGAATTACACATTGTTTTATTTTGTGGCAGATTACAAAAGGATTCCTTTTGTGAAGAATTACAAAAGGACTTCTTTTGTGGAGGATCACATGATGATTCCTTTGTGTGGCGAGTTACAAAAGGGAATCCTTCTGTGGTGAATTACACAAGGATCTCTTTTGTGAAGGATTACAAAGGGATTCCCCTTGGTGGAGGAATACAATGGGATTCCTTTGTGGAGGATTACAAGTTGATTTCCTTTGAGGGCTCTCCTGGATGTGAACCAGGGGACAAAAGAAAAAAAAAAAAAAAACATAAAATCTTTGAAAATTATGAAAATTGTAGGTTTTCAATGAATTTCCAATGTTTTGAAGCAAAAACATATAAAAACACGGCATGTCCAAGGTTTTGAGGCCGAAACCATATGAAAACACAGCATTTTTGCATTCGGATTGTGAAAATGCTGTGTTTTTATATGTTTTTGCTTCAAAGCATTGGAAAATCATTGAAAACCTGCAATTCTCTTAATCTTGAATGATTTTCTGATTTTTTTTTTTTTTTCTTTTGTCCCCTGGTTCACTTCCAGGAAAGCACTCAAAGGAAATCAATATGTAATCCTCCACAAATGGAATCCCTTTGTATTCCTCCACCAAAGGGAATCCCTTTGTAATCCTCCACAAAAGGGATCCTTTTGTAATCCTCCACAAAAGGAATCCTTTTGTAATCCGCCACAAAAGGAAACAATTTGTAATTCACCATGAACAGAATTCTCTTTTAATTACCCACAAAAGAACTCAATTAAAAATGTGCTACAACAGGAATCGTTCTGCATTCCACTACTTTGAGCAAGTCCTGTAAAGATGACGAAAAGCACAATCAACAGGAAAGCAAGCACATCAGAAGTAATAGACCAAAAAAACCGAGGTGGTACACACACACACGGTTTTATCAACCTTACCCCCCCCCCCCCCCTCTGGAGCCGGCTGGGGGGTCTGAGGTGGCCCAGCACTGGCTCCGACCAGCAGGTGGCCGGGGGCAGGTTCCAGGCTCCGGTCTTCTCGACGCGGCGTCCGGCCTCCGGGGGGGCCGTGTCCGGGCCTCGCGAGGCCGTCAGGAGCGGATCCGGGGGTGAACGCACACGAGGTGGAGCCCTTGGGAGGGGTCCTTCCCTCCTCCTCCTCCTCCTCCTCCTCCTCCTCCTCCTCCTCCTGCCCCTTGAGGGGTGCCTCGGCGCGAGGGCGGCGAGTTGGGGCCCCAGTCGTTCGAACTCAAGTCCGCCAGGTCGTGGCCTCTGTGGGCGCTCTGCGCTGCGGCAGGGAGTACCGTGCGCCCTGTGGTCCTTGTGCGCGCTCCGCGGCTGGTCCCCGGGAGTGTGTGGTCTTGGTTTTTGGGGTTCGGTCTCTCTTTGCCGTACGCGGGGCTCGGTCGTGTCTTTGGTTTGCATGCGTTTCGCTACCTCTCTGGCGGTGCGCCCCCCTTGGTGTTCCTTCGGACTTCGTAGACTTACTTGGAACTTAGTGGGGGTTGGCTCCCAGGGGGTGCGGTCCTGGCCTTCGGGGCTCGGTCCCAAACCAGGCCCAGACAGGCAAACCGTGAGGACGTACCACAAGCAAGACCGTACCCAAACCAGGCCCGAGCAGGCAAATCGCAGGGACGTGTCAAGCGAAACAGAAGTCCTTCTCGTCCCGCTGCGGGCGCCCCCAGGCTGCGCCCGGCCGGGTCCAAAAGGGTGTGGGGCCGGGGGGTCATTCCGACCTGCTCCGTAGAGGCGGGGGAGGCCCTAAAACGACGCGAAGATCGGGGCAGAGTCGGATCGGGATATAACTCGAAATCTCTGAGAATCGGCGGGTTTGGAGGACGTGTTGGGCGCCGCGGCCGCTCCAGAGCGTTCCGGAACGCTCTGAGAGCGATGTGTCCCGATCCTGGCCCTGTTTTTTAGGCTCCATAGAAGGTGCGGGCCGCCTGCCCTATACGGGCTTCGGGGGGGGGGGTTCTGGGCCCCGCAGAGTCTCGCGCCGCGCGCCCCGCGCGGTGGACTCGATGGGGGCGCCAGGATCCCCGACCTCAGAGTCCAGCAGTGGCGAAGCGTCCCGGCTCGCCTATAGGCCTACCGATGAATATTCTGAGAACCTTTTGGTTTCCACGATATGCTCTTGGAACTTCTTGTTGGGGCTGTCTTGTTGCAGCACATCGGCTTCATGTTCTGAGAGTATGGCTTTCGTTATTGTTGCAATGGTTGGTTCTAGGAACATGTCGTGGTAGGCCTATAAGAATACCGGGACGGTCGGTCCTGCTCAACAGAGACGTCCAGCTGTGGTGTCGTGAGCTGAGTGCGGATTGGCGGCGAGTGGGTGGGCCCAGTGAGCGGGCGGCGGAGTCTGTGGGTCTGCTGCGTCTGAAGCGGGCTGGGGCCCCCGAGGGCAGGCACGGTGGGCTCGTGGCCGCGGGTGCCTCTCTGCTGCCCCCTCCTGCTTCGCGGAGGCCGCCTCGCATGTCGCGGATTCCGTCTGGCACGTCTGGGATGCTCTGAGATTATTGCGGCACGTACATGTGTTGCGCTCAGCGTGAGTTTGCTGTTTGCGCGCGCGTGAGCATCCGGAGAATCCTCCTCCTCCTCTTCCTCCTCCCTCTCCCAGCCACTCCATGTTCGACCGGGTAACCCAGAGCTGCCACCCGATGACATTCAGCATTGGACCGCAATCGCCCCAATCCTCGTCCTTCTCCTCGCCAGCATCCTTTTCCTCCCTCTTCGCGGGTCCTTCTCCTCCCTCTTCGCGCTCCTCTCCTTCACCACCCCTCTCTCAGCTGACGTTGGAACCTCCCCCCTCGTTGCCCCGCCGGGGGAAGGAGAAAGGATGATGAGGAGGAGGAGGAGGGAGAAGGAGGAGGAGGAGGAGGAGGAGGAGGAGGAGGAGGAGGAGGAGGAAGGAGGAAGGAGGAGGAGGAGGAGGAGGAGGAGGAGGAGGAGGAGGAGGAGGAGCAGGAGGGAGCCCTCGCTATCGGATTCGCCCATCCCGGGACAACCCCCCCGGGCAGGGGCTGAGGCTCCCGGGAGCCAGCGCCTCGAGGAGTGTCGAGTCGTCGGGGGGTCTCGCGCCGTGAGGGAGCCAGCGCAGGGCACGAGCCGTCCCGAGGCCGGGAGGGGGCGGAGGAGAGGAAGGGGGGAGGAGGAGGAGGAGGGAGGAAGGAGGAGGAGGAGGAGGAGGAGGAGGAGGAGGAGGAGGAGGAGGAGGAGGAGCAGGAGGGAGCCCTCGCTATCGGATTCGCCCCTCCCGGGGCAAGCACCCCCCGGGCAGGGGCTGAGGCTTCCAGGAGCCGGCGCCTCGAGGAGTGTCGAGTCGTCGGGGGGTCTCGCGCCGTGAGGGAGCAGGCAGGGCACGAGCCGTCCCGAGGCCGGGAGGGGGCGGAGGAGAGGAAGGGGGGAGGAGGAGAAGAACGGCGCAGGAATGGGGAGGACGGGGGGACGAGATGGGGAGGAGGGCGAGCACGAGGGAGGAGGGCGAGCACGAGGGAGGCGGAGGACGATCCCGACGCCCCCTCGGGACGCCCTGGCTGCACGCCCGTCAGATTCACCCTATCGGCCCGTGTGTTCGCGGGGTCGGGATCCTGGATCCTCCTGCTCCTCCTGCTCCTCCTTCTGTTCCTCCTCCTCCTCCTCCTCCTCCTCCTCCTCCTTCTCCTTCTCCTCCTCCTTCTCCTCCTACTCCTACGACCCATTCCAGCTCCTACTCCTCCTTCGTCGCCCCCCCTTTCCCTCTAGCCACTGGCCCCATCCCCCTCCCCCCTGTCCGCGCTTCCCTCCCTCAGTCCCTCCGCCCTCAGGCCACCCTCAGAACCGCGTGGGCTCCCGCTTCCGTTCAAGAAGGCCCCCCAGACGAGGATGTCTAGCATACCGGCCCTGACACCTTGTTTCCCGACCAGTCAGCCTGGGCCTGGGAAGAGGGGGGGAGCGCTCGGTCCCCCATGGGAAGCGGCATCGAGCTGGTTTGATTCAGCGGGTTGGCTTTGCAGCCCCCCCCCCCCTTCCCAATGCCGCGCCAGGGCCCGTGTTCGCGGAGACGCCCACCTCGGACCTGGTCCGCCTCCGCTTCCGGCCGGCCAGGGCCGGCAAGTATTGGGCGTGCGCGCCCCAGCAGCTTGAGCCCCGCGGCGGACCCGGCCTCTGCCGCCGCGCGCGCCGCGCGATCGCCGGGCCCCCGCCACTGCCACGCCCGATCTCTCGCCCCGCACGGCCGGGGTCGATCCCACCACTCGAAGACAAAACGGCATGAACAGACGCTTTTGGGAGCTCCGCGCGGATGTCTTGCACTTGCGCTGGAACCTCCGGGCGGCTTCTCCGGCGCCGCCTCTAGCGCGCTCCGCGCGCCAGGGAGGGGGGCTCAGCCCAGATCGAAGAGATCCGCGCGGACGTCCCAAAACTTCTGTCCAGGCAGCTTCTGTTCAGTCGGGACTGTCCCTCTACAGGAGGGATATTCAAAGATGTTTAAAAGATAGTCAGGGGACGATATGTTTGACTATGTTTTGACATTTTCGCAGTATTTCGGGGGAGTTCTTAGTTTTTCGCCAGGGGGACAGACCCGACCTGAAGCTTCTGTTCTTCCTCCAGCCACGGCACGGCACGGCCGTCCTGGAAGGTCAGCTGCCTCGGCGGGCCGGCGGGAGCCCCGGCGCCCTGCCCCCCGCCGCCCAGAGATTTGGACCGGCAGGGTGTGGGCTCATTCCGCTCGTGCTCGCTGGCGATGTCTGAGCCCTAAACGTGACATCGGGCCTGTCCCTCTACGGGAGGAAGATTCAAAGCCGGTCAACAAAAATAGCATGGGGTCGATTTGTTTGATGTTTTCTCGCTTTTTTTTTTTTTTTTTTTTGTTTTTTGCTGCTTTGTTTAAGTTTCCTCGAAGATCGGCATGTAGGGGGCAGGCCCGACCTAACCCTAACGGGTGTCCTCGGGCCTCCCAGGATTCGGACCGGCGGGCAGGGAACACGTGTGTGTTCCGCGTCTCTGGAGGCGGGCGCGCGATGCACAAGAGACTTGGTACCGCAGCTGGGCCTCCATCTTTTCCGTGGAGCCCTGGGTCGCGAAGAAAGGCACGTCGCGCCAGGAATCTGGGCTCCCCCTTCCCCCTAGACGGGGTCGGAGTAGATGGGGTCGGAGGATCGTGCCGCATCGCCGATGCATCGGCAATGCATCGGCGATGCATCGGTGATGCGGCTCGATGTGGGGCCCACCTTTCTCCGCGCCGACGTCGCCGATGCATCGGCGATGCGGCGCGACCCTCCGACCCCATCTACTCCGACCCAATCTAGGAGGCCTCTGCCCTCGCAAGTCGCTCCTCCTTCGTGCTCCCTCTCCTCGGAGGGCACCAACTATACACCAGCACCGATCCTGGCCCAGGATCACCCTGGGCCCAGGATCGGTGTATATGCCTTCTTGCGCAAGGCAGGAGGGCGTATGCACCGATCCTGGGCCCAGGGTGATCCTGGGCCAGGATCGGTGCTGGTGTATAGTTGGTGCCTTCCTATCTCCTCCCCCCCTGCCCTCGCGAGCACCCCCCTGGGGCACAGCCGCTGCGCCCGTGGGCCACCTTCAGCCCGCGGGCAGCGCCCCCCTGGCCCACTCTCTGCCCGCGGACCTCTCCGCGCCAGCGGGCCGCTCTCCGGCCGCGGAGGCCGCTTCGCTCGCCCGTCGGCGGCGCCCGCGGGCCTCTCGGGCCCCGGGAGCCTTTCCACCACCACCACCTCCACCAAAAGCAGGAGGGGGAGGGGGTCCTCCTCCTCCTCCTCCTCCTCCTCCTCCTCCTCCTCCTTCACCTCCTCCCCCCCCTCCCCCAGGTTTGCACGCACGAAATGGGTACTGAAAGAATGGGCACAATGCCCAGCAGCGGATCTTGTTCATTTTGAACAGGACTCGCTGTCCACGACGCCGCGGCCTGTGTCCATTTGAGACAGGAGGCCGCCCGCCCAACAGCGGCCGCTGTTGGTTTGGAACAGCATCTGTTATTCCCCACATGCTTCGTGGGGTTCTGGTTTTCTTCCCTGCCGCGCCGCACCCGCGTCTCCTCACACCTCCCCTCCTCTCTCTTTCTTCCTCCCCTCACTCACACACACACACACACTTCACTCTTCCCCCCCTCGTCACAGCACTGCTCAGCTCAGCTCAACTCAGCTCAGCACAGCACAGCTCAGCTCGGCTCAGCACAGCACAGCACAGCTCGGCTCAGCTCAGCACAGCTCAGCACAGCCCAGCACGGCTCAGCTCAGCACAGCACAGCACAGCTCGTGGCACTTTCTCGACACCACAGGGGGTGCGCAGGGGTTGGTCTCTCAGCTCGGCCGCTATCCACGACACTGGCGCAAAGCCTAGCAGGCGTGGCACTTTCTCGACACCACAGGGGGTGGGCAGGGGGTGGTCTCTCAGCTCGGCCGCTATCCACGACACTGGCGCAAAGCCTAGCAGGCGTGGCACTTTCTCGACACCACAGGGGGTGCGCAGGGGGTGGTCTCTCAGCTCGGCCGCTATCCACGACACTGGCGCAAAGCCTAGCAGGCGTGGCACTTTCTCGACACCACAGGGGGTGCGCAGGGGGTGGTCTCTCAGCTCGGCCGCTATCCACGACACTGGCGCAAAGCCTAGCAGGCGTGGCACTTTCTCGACACCACAGGGGGTGCGCAGGGGGTGGTCTCTCAGCTCGGCCGCTATCCACGACACTGGCGCAAAGCCTAGCACTGTCTCGACACCACAGGGGGTGGGCAGGGGGTGGTCTCTCAGCTCGGCCGCTATCCACGACACTGGCGCAAAGCCTAGCAGGCGTGGCACTTTCTCGACACCACAGGGGGTGCGCAGGGGGTGGTCTCTCACCGCGGTCCCTATCCACGACACTGGCGCAAAGCCTAGCAGGCGTGGCACTTTCTCGACACCACAGGGGGTGCGCAGGGGGTGGTCTCTCAGCTCGGCCGCTATCCACGACACTGGCGCAAAGCCTAGCAGGCGTGGCACTTTCTCGACACCAAAGGGGGTGGGCAGGGGGTGGTCTCTCAGCTCGGCCGCTATCCACGACACTGGCGCAAAGCCTAGCAGGCGTGGCACTTTCTCGACACCACAGGGGGTGCGCAGGGGGTGGTCTCTCAGCTCGGCCGCTATCCACGACACTGGCGCAAAGGCTAGCAGGCGTGGCACTTTCTCGACACCACAGGGGGTGCGGAGGGGGTGGTCTCTCAGCTCGGCCGCTATCCACGACACTGGCGCAAAGCCTAGCAAGCGTGGCACTTTCTCGACACCACAGGGGGTGCGCAGGGGGTGGTCTCTCAGCTCGGTCGCTATCCACGACACTGGCGCAAAGCCTAGCAGGCGTGGCACTTTCTCGACACCACAGGGGGTGCGCAGGGGGTGGTCTCTCAGCTCGGCCGCTATCCACGACACTGGCGCAAAGCCTAGCAGGCGTGGCACTCTCTCGACACCACAGGGGGTGGGCAGGGGGTGGTCTCTCAGCTCGGCCGCTATCCACGACACTGGCGCAAAGCCTAGCAGGCGTGGCACTTTCTCGACACCACAGGGGGTGCGCAGGGGGTGGTCTCTCAGCTCGGCCGCTATCCACGACACTGGCGCAAAGCCTAGCAGGCGTGGCACTTTCTCGACACCACAGGGGGTGCGCAGGGGGTGGTCTCTCAGCTCGGCCGCTATCCACGACACTGGCGCAAAGCCTAGCAGCCGTGGCACTTTCTCGACACCACAGGGGGTGCGCAGGGGGTGGTCTCTCAGCTCGGCCGCTTCACGACACTGGCGCAAACCTAGCAGGCGTGGCACTTTCTCGACACCACAGGGGGTGCGCAGGGGGTGGTCTCTCAGCTCGGCCGCTATCCACGACACTGTGGCAAAGCCTAGCAGGCGTGGCACTGTCTCGACACCACTGGGGGTGCGCATGGGGTGGTCTCTCAGCTCGGCCGCTATCCACGACACTGTCGCAAAACCTAGAAGGCGTGGCACTTTCTCGACACCACAGGGGGTGCGCAGGGGGTGGTCTCTCAGCTCGGCCGCTATCCACGACACTGGCGCAAAGCCTAGTATAGAATGGCGGATAGAAGGCTGGGAAGATGGAGGAGGGTCAAGCAATTTGGCGTTGGATGACACATAGGGAACATTCGCGACGAGGGCTCAGAAGGCAGGATTGCGCATACATATATATATATATATATGTATATATATTATACATAAGCAAACACATAAGATTAACATGAAGTATGTGGGGTTCCTCGGTAGCGTAATTGGGCATTGTACCCATTCTTTCCGTACCCATTTCGGGCGTCCAAACCAGAAGCAGGAGGGGGAGGGGGTCCTCCTCCTCCTACTCATCCTCCTACTCCTCCTCCTCCTCCGCCTCCTCCTCCTCCTCCTTCTCCTACTCCTCCTACTCCTCCTCCACCACCACCACCTCCACCAGATTTGCACGCACGAAATGGGTACTGAAAGAATGGGTACAATGCCCAACAGCGGATCTTGTTCATTTTGAACAGGGCTCGCTGTCCACGACGCCGCGGCCTGTGTCCATTTGAGACAGGAGGCCGCCCGCCCAACAGCGGCCGCTGTTGGTTTGGAACAGCATCTGTTATTGGGCATTGTACCCATTCTTTCCGTACCCATTTCGGGCGTCCGAACCAGAAGCAGGAGGGGGAGGGGGTTCTCCTCTTCCTCCTACTTCTCCTCCTCCTCCTCCTCCTCCTCCTCCTTCACCTCCTCCCCCCCTTCCAACGTATGGTGGTGGTGGTGCAGAACAGGCCCATCACCCATTCCGCAAATCGAATGTCTGGGGGGACGGGAGGTCGGTTCTGGCCCCGCCAGCGGTAACACTGGCGCTCCCGCCGCGGGGAGGCGCTGCGTGAGCCGGCTCTCCATTTCCCTGGTTCTCCTCTTCGGGCTCGCCCCTCTCTGGTTTCCCTCTGGCCCTTCCTCCTCCCTCCCACGACGGGGCTTCCCGCCTCCACATCACTCCTGGCCCCCCCGCCCAGTGTCCTGGTCATCGGTATTCCTTCGCGCTCCCTTCTCGCTCTCTGCGCCAGTTGTCGGCAGCTGGGGATACGTCGGGCCTGTCCCTCTACAGGAGGAATATTCAACAATAGTCCAAAAATAGTCTGGGGACGATTTGTTGACCATGTTTGAGTATCCTAAGGCATTGTTTGATTATTTTTTCGCACAAAATTCCCCTGCAGTGGGACAGGCCCGACCTGAAGCTGAGGTGCGGCCCCGGCCAAGAGTTGCAGCTGTCATCTCAAGGGCACCCCCCCAACGGGGCCTGGAGAGGGCCCTATGGGGACTTCCAGGTGGGGCGACAGGCTGGGGACACCCTTGGCCAGGAACACCTCTCTCCTCCTCCTCCTCCTCCTCCTCCTCCTCCTCCTCCTCCTCCTCCTTTCTGCTCCTGTTTCACGTCCCTCCTCCCCCTATCCACCCCTCGTCCCCCCCCAATCCTCCTGTCTCCTCCTCGGTCAACCTCCTCCTGGATCGCTCAACCCGCTCCCTGCTGCGGGCCGCCGTGCGTGGTCGCTCTGGTCTCTCCGATTCTCGATGGTCCGTCCTAGAGCGAAGCGGCTCGGAGCTCGTGGGAGTAGTCCCCCCCGTCTGAACTGTGATTTCTGTGATTTCGATTGGCCTGTCTCTCCTCTCCCACTCGTCTCAGCGATAGACACTTCATCAACTGCCGAGGGGGGTTGGGCACTTCTGGAGAACCTAGCCCGAGAGGCCGGATCGTTGTCCACGCCTCCACCCTGGCTCCTCCTGAGGTTGGGGCGTGAGCATAGATGAACACGCCTTTATTTCCTATCATCTTCACGCCTTCTTAACACACACACACACACACGCACCGCCCCTTGACACGAGATTCGGAGTTTCGTGGCGCTGCCGTTCCCGTTGCGATTCTGATCCGATCTTCCATTGTCTCCCCCTCCCCCTCTTTACTCCTCCTCTCCACCCCCCCCCGCCTCATCCGTCTCGCATTCTCTGGTAAGCTCCTCCCTCTGCAACCTCGCGTAAGGTTCGTGCTCCCATCGGACAGCGCGGCGCTGATCAACACGACTTCGGCGAGCGACCCAGACTCGATCCCAGACGTCGTGAGCTCCGCAGGCTGCCTACTGACGAATGTCAGCATGCCTGCCGACGCCGTGGAGCTCGACCTCGTCGACTGTGGCCTTGTCGATGCTTTCGGGGTGTCTGTCGTGACTAGCTACTCTGTGCTCGTGTACATCGAGGATGCACGCTGCGAGTGGGAGATGGAGGCAGCATCGAAGATGGGTGAATAGAACGCTCCTGGGCATCTCCGTGTGTCGGTGGAGCTTGGATTGCAGCTCCGAACAGGAAGTGAGTGGAGGCACTCTTGGGTAGGCATCTAGCTGCGTGCGGCAGATCCCGCCACCGTGCCAGGGCGGGCGCGCAGTTCAGTGGCGTGTCTGAGTTAGCGTGGGTAACTTTCTTAACCACCCCCTCCTCGTCCTCAGCCGCATGTTCCTCCTCCCTCGCAGGCTGCCATCATGTGAGAGGGGTTGGAAAAGGCGCTCGGCCCGCCCACACGGCGGCAGCGGGGGCACGGAACGCCGCACCTGTCTTCTTCCAGACGAGTCGGCACCGAGGCGCCTACTTCTTCCAGCGCGGAGGTTGTCGACATGTGCTTGCTACGCTCCCAGCGACGCGCCGATCGGTCATTGATCCCCCATCGGCGAGTGTGCGTGCTTTTTGTCTGCTTCCCTTCGAGGCATGGCGGAGGCTTGTGTGGGCGGACAACAGAACAACAATATTGTTCCGCTGATGCAGGGAGGTACAGTCAAGACGTTGAACAACAATATCATGTTGGATTCGGAGGCGTTGTCCTCTAGCGTTCCTCTTGCACTCTGGCGTTCCTCATGCACTCAGGTGCTCTTGGAGCAAAGGGGTGCCTTCTCTCATTCTTAGGGCATTCTGAGTTAGCAGCCTGACTGTAGGACAAGATACAAAGGAGAGGGTACGGCAGCAAGGGTGCAGCCCAGCTGTGCCTCTCAGAGCCCGTTTTCCCGCATAGTGACGTCGGCGTGCATGTTTTGCAGCTCTGGAGCGTTGTCACTGCTACTCCTCTTGCAAGCAACGGTGGGCTTGGCCGTTTTCGAGGCCTGCTCACCACAGCCAGGCCACGCGGCAGCCGTGAGGTGCGACCTCCAGGGGCTCGGCACACATCTTGATCCATGCCCCGCGTTCTCAGGCTGACTGGCGGGTCGCTTGTCAGATTGTTGTGTGCTCCGTCCGTCCTCCCCCTCCAGAAGCAGGAAGGTTCGAACTCCACGGTGTCAAGGGCAGAAAAAAAACGCCCCTACCCTGGTTTACGAGGCGCTGTGCTCTGAAACTCCTGTGGGCTGACAGGGTAAACCATGCGTGATGTGCCGAGTCCTGGCGGCTCTAGGCTTTGGGGCTTCCCAGGAGGTTTACAGACCACGCACTTGTAATCCAGGGTAGGGTCGTTTTTTCCTCCTTCCACGGTGGGCCCTCGGGAAGCACGGCCGGGTCAGGACTACACCGGCCCGGAGACCAGGGAGCTGGGCTCCCTCTCTGCGGTGATGCCGCTGCTGCCCGTCTCGAACACCTTCCTCGAGCCGCTGCCGCGCCTGAAGGCGGGCCGGGGCCTCCCTCGCCCGGCGTGCTCCCGCGCCGCTCTCTCTCTGTTCATTCGCAGTGTCATCTCTATGCGGCTACGCCGAGGGATGTATATACGGTAGGCTTGCGTCGTGTCGACCAGCGGCGACCCCAGCGCGGGCGTTCAAGGTTGAACGCCGCCGGCGACCCAGAATCGATCGATGTTGAACGATCGGACGTTGCGGCAGCGGCCGATCGTTCAAGGTTGAACGATCCCTGCGGTGTCAAAAACCAACGCTGGCGTCGGCACGACACGAACCTGCCGTACATGCGCATGTGGAGAGAGAGAAAGGGAGGTGTCCGGAGGGATGGGCCCTAACGAGGAGCGGGATACTACCATGTGAGACAGGGGTGATGAAGGAACGGATGAGAACGGCGAGAGCCGATATCGGGAACGCAGGCATGTTGATTCGTTCTTTCCCTCTTGCCCATTTCTCCTTCATGCGGACCTTGCTGGGCCAAAGTATATGGTTCAATTCGGTGTGTATGTATATATATATACATATACGCATATTCCCCAACTATTGCTTGCACCTGCGATTTCTTACTTCTGCTCTAAGGAACAGGGCCGTGTGTTCGGTCTGTCGGCTATGTGGCCGCAGTCGCCGCGCCGTCGCCGCCTCGTCACCGCCCGTCGCCGCCAACGGACTGCACCACATAGTTTGCACAAGAAATGTCGCCTGCGGCGTGCTTTTTTATCACTCACACCATAGGTCGAACACATATAGCGCAACCACATATATATATATATATATATATATATATGTATACACACACACACCTATACGACCACCCTTCGGGTGATAAGGAGGTTGTGGGGGGGAGGAGAGGGGGAGAACCAACATCTGACTCAGTCGATCTCACTACCGACCTCACTCAACGAGACACCACAGGACACCACGGGACACCACGGGACGCTTGTCGATCTCTTTGCCGATCTCACTATCGATCTCATTCAACGGGACACCACGGGACACCAGAGGCATTATCGATCTCATTCAACGGGACACCATAGGACACCACGGGACACCACGGGACACCTCGGAACACCACATCGATCTCATCATGGATCTCACTATCCATCTCAGTATCGATCTCACTCAACGGGACACCATGGGACACCACGGGGCATTTGTCGATCTCACTATCGATCTCACTATCGATTCCACTTTTTGGGACACCACGGGACACCTCAGGACACCACATCGGTCTCAGTATCGATCTCACTATCGATCTTACGATCGATCTCATTCAACGGGACACCACGGGACACCTGTCGATCTCAGTATCGATCTCACTATCGATCTCATTTGTTGGGACACCACGGGACACTTCGGGGCACCACATCGATCTCAGTATCGATTTCACTATCGATCTCATTATCGATCTCACTATCGATCTCTCTCAACGGGACATCACGGGACACCACGGGACACCGCGAGCCACCGCCGAACGGGCGGGAGGGCGGGAGAGAATCATTTGTCTTGATTTCGCCCTAGCAACGGCAGACACCGCGGGACACCGCGAGCCACCGCCGGACGTGCGGGAGGGGGAGAATCATTTGTCTTGACTTCGCCCTGGCAACGGCGGAAGCACGGGACACCACGGGACACCACGGGACACCACGGGACACCACGGGACACTGCGGGACACCGCGAGCCACTGCCAGACGGGCGGGAGGGGGAGAATCATTTGTCTTGAATTCGCCCTAGCAACGGCGGGTTCAGTCCTCTCGCGCGCCCACGCAGCTTCGCCTCGCCCGCACGCGCGACACGAACGAAACGAAAGGATTTCCCAGTTGGGGGTCTCCGCTCCACTGCGATCTCACCCCCCCAACCTCCGGTATGTGCGTAGGCCGGATGTTCGGCGGCGTAACGCTCACCTCCCCTGGATGGATCGCGCATCCGGCTCGTACAGGAGCTGCGCCACGTCGCCCCTGGGGACCTCGGCGGGGCTTCCGCGGCTGCAGCAGCGTCCAGGTGCACCCGACGGGCTCCACAAGGGGGCCACCCGCGGAGATGGCCGCGCTTCGCGCCTCGTGGCCTGGGCGAGAGAGGCCGTCCATCCCCGGGGGCTCAGACATCCACGGGCCTTCCGAGAGGGCTCGGAAGTCCCCCCGGCCTCCTCAGAACTTGTCGAAGCCTTCCCGAGGACACAGAAGCATCTCAGGAGGCTGGAGGTCCTCTGAGAGGCCCAGCCGACTCTGAAAGGGCTTTCCCCTTCTCACTCTCCCCCCCCCTTCGCACGCCGCGGACAATCTGATGGCACGCAATCGTTGCCTCATGGGCGGGCACGGCGCCAGGAGGCACCCTCGGGCCGTGTCTGCTTCGCTTGCGCCCTGATACGGCATCGGCCGCAAACTATGATGTACAGCACGTGCCTCTGGCGCACGTGAACTTCCCGCGGCTGTGCGGTACGTGAACAACTCGAGTCATACTCGTCCATGACATTATTCCTGATCTGGTACTCGGTGCTGCGTGGCGTGATCGGGTACGTAATCGTCATGTCTCCTCCCGCCATCCCACTTCGGCATGTCCGAGTTCACCCTTGCGGGTATGCGAGTTCGCGTCAAGCATCCTGAACGTTTGTTGCCAAGGCAACTTAGGCGATTGCAAAGGCGCCAAGCACATCCAAAGTTGTTTCTGCAGCATCTGTATCCTCTTCATTAGACATGTGACTCGACGCCCCAGCTCGACGCGGAACATGTGCACGGACATTGCCATGCACGCGAGGAGGTCTCGAGGAAGAAATAGCAGATGACGCAAGAGGATGCGGGATGAAGTAACATCACCACGATAAGATGAGTTGGACCATTCCAGTCGGACCGCATGGCAAGAACCCCGCAATGTTTCGTCACGGTGCCATGGGTTTCTTTTGTTTTGGGTTTGGCGCAGATGGTTGTAGCAATCTCGAAGAAATTAGATTTTGAAGGGCACCCTGGGTTTCTTGGGCGGCGGTTCCGGAGCGCGCGTTGTTACCTTCAAGAGACTTCCGGGCATTCGGAGAAGTAATATGTCTGATTGTGCAAGGCCCGAAGCTTGCATGCTCAATCGCCTAGTGTGCCTTGGTGTCAAATTGCTTCACGCAGGTGATCAAGGAACTGCTCGGGTCAGGGTACCCTGGGTTTCTTCGCTTGCTGTCGAAGTAGAAGGAACCCAACCATGGACTTAGAAACCTCAGCGGATTTCAGGGTTTGATTTCTTGCGGTGGGGTTCTAGTGGATTCCACTGTGCAGACGCTTCGCAGATCCCCTCAGCACATCTATAAACATTATTCGCTAGATCTGACCGTCAGGCGCTCATGCAGTGCAGCAGAGAAGTGGGTCAGCTGTCGAGGCGAAACTCGGAATCAGCTTCAGCATACCCAGGAGTGGACCCAGCATGCCAATGAGGAGGAGACGGATGAGAAGGTGAGGGAAGACGACCGAAGCAAGAATGAGGATGAAGAGGGAGTTGGGAGGATGAGAAGGAGGGGCAGGAAGAAAAGGAGGATGATAATTTTGAAGGAAGGCGGTCATGACGACGACATGAGCAAGGACGGACGACGACAGGAGGCAACGAGAGTGGCCTTCGTGGATCGTTCGCCAGGAGAGTCCCTTGGAAGGCTCTTGGAGCACTGGATGCCAGTTTGGAGCTGTTGGAACCATCTTGGGGCTGGGGCTTCTTCTGGGCCCCTCTTGGAGCTCTTGTGTGAGATATTGGGGTCGAACTCAAGCCTGATAGGGCCATCGGAAGCGAACAGGCCCATTGTACCACATTAGGTGTGTGAGTGATTGTGGCCTCTGGGTGGTATCCTTGAGGATGCATGCTCAGTGGGAGCTTCTTAGTGGTGGTCTTGGGACTTGTTTGAGGCATGCTGGACATCAGGTTGAACCAGCTTAAGCTATAATGAGCCATCTTGAAGACCACCTTGGGCTGTCCGAGGCCCTCGCGAAGCTATCTTGGGCTATACTGGACGCTTCAACCCCTCGCGCCCCCTACCCCACCCCCGTCCAGATCCAGGGGAGGGGGTGTGGGGGGGGGGGGGCCGGCAACCTCCGCCCCGAAGGGGAAGACGGAATACCGCACTCCCGAAGCCACCTACGCCCAGATGTCTGGAGGCACTGGATGGGATGTTGGGGAGGAAAGGGGGGGGGGAAGGGGAGCGGGGAAGGGAGCGGGGCACGGAGAAGGGGCGGTAGAGCAGGGGGGGGAGGAGGAGGAGGGGGGAGGAGTTGGACAAGGGGGGGGGAATGATTTTTGGGAAAAAGGGGGGGGGAGGATCTGGCAAGGGGACGGGCGGGCGACTTGGAGGGGCAGAGTTGAGGGAGGAGAGGCGATGGGGGAGGCCGTGCCTCCCCCCCCCCTTTCCCCCAGCGGAGGACGGGATGGAATAGACCGCCACATTTGTAGCCCGATGCGGCCTCTCACCGCACATGTTTGCGAACCATTGCTGGCCCCACGTTGTTGTTGTCGCCGTCAGATGTATGTTTGGTTAAGTTGCTGAGTGTTCGGGGCTCTTTTCTCGAGTCTGGAGTATTTCTGATATCGTTCACGGTGCTGCTTTCCCACCATCTCAGCACTTTGCCCAGGCGCATGGGCAGACTACGCCGACACCTGGGGACATAGTCTTCGATGTGACTCCGAGAGTCTCTGGCAAACTCTGGGCGGCCGTGTACGAGTCGAAATACGTGACGTCGGTCGAGCGTTATACGGGTGTTATCACACTCCACCATCTCAAGGCGGTGGAGGCGTATGAGAACATGGGACCGTCGTATGGCAATCCGAATTGCTCTGTTTGGGGTATGGACATCAACGCTACTGACGAGGATAACGCGTCCGTGACCACAGAGATTCGGTTGACCGGTTGTGCATTGCAATCCGAAATGGAAATGGATTACTCTGTGTTGCTGTACGTCGAGGCGTGCTACAATACTGATTTCGGTGCGACGGCCAACAACGGCAAGAGTTGCGACGACTACGAGCCGTTTGATCCAACGTGCACGCTCAACGACGACGCGGATTTCACCACCAACGATATGTGTTGTTCATGTTTCTCGAGCCAAGGGCGTGACGACGGACAGGCGGCTGTTTTTGTTCGAAAGGGGGGGGGGCCTAGTCTCAGCGCAACGTGTCGGGGTTGTTTCTGCATTAGTCTGGCACTGTGGCCGCATCCCTGATGTGAACCCGTCTCCTCCTGCTCCTGATCATTCTGCTCTTATTCCTTCCTCCCTTCTCCCCGTCTTACTCTTGCCCCACTGATCCTATTCCCTTGCATCGGACTCGTCCTTCTGCTCCTTCTGCTCGCCATCCTCATGCTTTTGCGCCGCCTCAGCGTCCTCCTGCGCCAACTACCTCCTGATGCTCCTCCTTATCTGCCTCGTCCTCCTCCTCCTCCTCATCCTCCTCGTGTATCATTTTCTGTTTTTCTTCCTGCGCTCACTGGTCATCATCCTGGACCGCATGTTTCCCCTTCTCCTTCATTCACTCGCACTTCTTGCTTCCTGCTGCTGCTCATCATCACTGTTGCTCTTTCCCTCGGTATCGCTGTCCGGTGTCCTCCTCCCTGCCTTCCTCTCCTGCTCCGCTTCCTCAACACCTTCTCCAGCCCCACCCTCCCCTCCCCTCCTACCTGCGAAGCGCCCCCTTCCCCCCCTCACACCTCACTCCCCAACGGAGAAGGAGGAGGGGGATGACGGGGGGGAAGGACCTCTCTCCACCCTGCTCCATCGCTGACCCATCGTCTCCCCCTCTCCCCTCACGCACATACCCCGAGGGTGACCCCTTCAGAAGTGTTGATATCTGTGCCCCAGATTGCACCCCGTTGCTATCCTCCAACTGCTGCTGCTGCTGCAGCTGCTGCTGATCCTCAGCATCAGCAGCCGCAGCAGCACCAGCACCATCAGCAGCAGCAGCAGCAGCGGCGGCAGCAGCAGCATCATCCTCAGCCTCATCAGCATCATCCTCATCCTCATCAGCATCATCCTCATCCTCATCATCACCAGCATCCTCCTCATCATCATCATCAGCATCATCATCATTATCGCCATCATCACAACATCAGCATCAGCATCATCATCACCATCATCAGCATCTTCATCACCAACATCACCAACATCATCGTCATCATCATCGTCATCTTCAACATGATCGTCACCATCCTCATCATCATCATCATCATCATCATCATCATCATCATCATCATCATCATCATCATCATAATCATAATCATAATCATAATCATAATCATCAGCAGCAGCAGCAGCATCATCATCATCCTCCGCTGCCCTCCTGCTACTTCTCCGCCTCCCCTTGTCCTCCTCGTCGTGCGCTCCCTCGTCACTCTTCCAGGGCAGCGAGCACGGGGGTCGGCGGGGGAGTGCTGTCCCGGCCCGTCATGTGTTGCGCCGCGTTGGGGTGCACGGGTTTGAGGTTTGAGCGAGCGGCCTTGGCAGAGGGGCTCTCAGACGTAGGATGCTCGGCCCGCATTCGGGGAGCGATGATCCAGGATGGCCAGCCTTCGCGAAGCAGGGATGGAGGAGGACGAGGATGAGGAGGGAGCACGAGGAGCTTCCCTCACGAGGAGCGAGAGATGCGATTAGACTGTCGGCCTGGAGCACGAGCCGATCGAGGATGATCAGCCTGGAGGAGGATGGGATGGATCTGCGACCGCTTGCGAACCTTACCCCTGCAGTTTCAATCGACGCTGAAACATCGGACACCCCCTTGTGGGCTCTCATCCTTCATATTACGAGCCCTCGCATATGTTCCAGAAATTGGACGGGCGAGGGTTGGGGTCACATGTGTTTGCCTGGAGAAGCATGGGTGAAGATGATGAGTCCTCCTCATTCTTCCTTCCCCACGCCTTCATACGACCATAAATGCTCTCAGGTAATCAGGCTGGACCTGGGGGCGCGATCGAACACGATCGACTTGGGGGAGGAAGAGATGGGGAAGGAGGAGTGAGGATGAGTCGTATCTGCTCCTCCCCCCACGCATCCTTTCCGCGAGAGATGCTCTCATCTGGCTGTCCTAGACTATGATATGCGAAACAATCGAAGCTGATCGGCCTGGAGGCAAAATCGATGGAGGAGGGGTTGGAGCCGTCATAAGCGGTAGATGGGGGAGAAGGAGGAGGAGGAGGAGGAGCAGCAGGAGCAGGAGCAGGAACAGCAGGAGCAGGAGCAGGAGCAGGAGCAGGAGGAGGAGGAGCAGGAGTCCTCCCTCCCCCCCTCTGCGCCTCCTCCCTGGCCAAAGACCATCTCAGATGATCGGCCTGGACCTCGGGCACACCTTCGCCGACTCCTCGAACTACTTCGCCGTCGCCCCGACGGCGCCCGCGCGCGCGCCTCGCCCGCCCCCGCGGCCTGCGGGGCACTCTCCTGCGGCCGCCGATCGCGCGGCGCCGCCCGGGCGTGCGCCCGCGGGCGCATGGCCCGGGCGGTGGAGTGCGGGCCACCCTGCAGGGCTCGTTTCGATTTCTCCGATTCGATTCGATTCGATTTCGATGGCTTCCGATTCCGATTCGATTCGACTTGGGATTCCGATTTGGGTTCCGACTTCTCATTGGAGGCATACTAGCCTCCCGATTTCTGCCGATTCGATTTTTTCCGACTCGGCTGCCGATTTCCGCCGATCCGATCCATCTCGATCGCCGATCCGACTTACCGATTCGATTCTGGTGTCTTCTGACCCTGGACTCATCGGCGGCGAGCCCGGGGGAGCGGGAAGCGAGAAGGGGTGGGCCTTCGCAGAAGTCGACAGATAAGAAGGCGCCAGAAGCATGAGCTCCTGTGGCGATCCGCGCGGATCTCTCGGGTCAGCGCTGGGCCCCCCTGGCGGCGCCTGCGGCGACGCTCCAGGGAAGGGGCTTCCAGCGCAGATCCAAGAAATCTGCGCGGAGCGCCAAAAGTTGTTGTTTATGGCGTTATGTCTTTTTCGAAAAGTGAGAAGGGGCGGGCCTTCGCAGAAGGCCGCGAAGTCCCCAGCCTTCCGAGGAGTTCTCTAAGCCGCCCCCGAAGACACAGCCAAGTTCGCAGCACGGCTTCCCGGAGGCCACACTCGAGACACGCCGGAGGCGCCCGGGGATGCTCAGGAATTCTGTCAAACTGCGGGCCGGGCCCTTCCTCGAGAATGGGGTATTTATCAAGGGGGGACGAGTCACCTTCTGACTGAGCTTGCCGAATCCCGCCCCCCTCCATCCTCCTCTTCATCCTCCTCCTCTGCCTTCAACCCTCCCTCCACCCGTTCCGACAGCACGTGCCCCGCCCCCCAGCGGGGGGGGGGGGCGAGTATTGTCCCATCCAGAATAGCTTACGATCCCAGCAACGCTCGCACCCGTGTGAGCCTTGGGGCACTCCACCGCGCGAGGCGTTCCAAAAAGCTTCTGAGAAGCCCCGCCGCCTTCTGAGAAAGCCTTTTCCTTCTCACTTCCCCCCTCGCTCGCCGCCGGATTCAGGAGGGGCTCTGGTTCCCAGGTCGTTCCCAGGGCGTTGGAAAGATGCCGTGGGCGAATCACCTGCCCGATTCCGCGGACTCGCCGGCGGGGCTTCTGTTCCGCCACTTCTTGGATACGGGGTGCTTGTTGCCGCAGATGCCCTTCGTGGAACGTGTCCGCGCGACCGGGTATCCGCGGGGTCGCGCCCCGGAATCCAGACCGCGAGGGCGCGGACACAGATGGGCGAGGAGGAGGGGGAGGAGGAGGAGGAGGAGGAGGAGGAGGAGGAGGAGGAGGAGGAGGAGGAGGGGGAGGAGGAGGAGGAGGAGGAGAGGAGGAGGAGGAGGAGGAGGAGGGGGAGAAGGAGGGGGAGGGAGAGGGGGCGTGCAGCGGGGCGCCGCTGGCCCGCTGATGACGCGCTGTCCCCCGCCCCTTGGGGCACGGGCGGGCGCCGCAGAGGCCCCGGCAGGGAGGCCGCGTGCACAGGAGGGGACCCTGCGGGGGTCGGGGAAGCGGAAAAGAGGGGGGTGATGACTAGGGTCGGGCCGGGCGAAAGGGGGGGATTGGGAAAGGGGGGGTTACGAAATTTGCTGCATGCAGCTGGTTTCGGCCTCACCGAGGGGCCCATTCCTCGATACATAGCCGCCTCCCGGCGCCGGGAGGCGCCGGGAAAATCAGCTACGTGAGCTGATTCTCAAACCCCCCCTTTGCTATCCCCCCCTTTCGCCCGACCCGAGAAAAGAGGGGGGTGATGACTAGGGGGGGGGATTTCATGGCGCGGGCCATGATTTTTCCTCAGATTTCATGGCGCCTCTTCTTGTGTCATTGCGTCCCAGGCCCCCCCGCTGGGCCGCGCGCATGCCGCCGGTCATGATTTGCACCCCCCCCTCTTGGACACCCCCCTCTTGGCCGCTCCCGAGGGGGGGTCGCCTCACGGGGAGGGCGCGCTGTCCGGAGATCGATGCTGCACGCTGTCGGTCCAGCGACGGCCGCAGACTGTACGCAGGTCGGGGAGCGTGGTCGTGGCCGAGGCTCGCCGAGGCCGGAGACGCACCGTCCTTCCTTGTCTGGCGTTCCCTGTGGCAGGGCGATGGCCGGACGGTCCAGCGTGGCAGCAGGGGCGAGGGCACCTCGGCCAAGCTGCCCCCCAGACTGGCTGCAGATCTCCAGCTGGCACGAGGGTTGAGGACGGCTCTTCTTCTTCTCCTTCTGGAGGGGCACTCTTGTGTCCTCCCCGCTCGGGCTTTCCGCCTCCGGATGCTGATAGTTTTGGGTATCTCCATGGGGCCTTGGTCCCTCGGTCTATGATGTTCCAACCTACTTTGGCCTTGATCGCCCGAGAATTCCGAGCACCAAGAAATGACCGAAACTGGAGCGTGTTCGCGTGTCGGACCCTGGGAGGCGATGCTCGTTCGTCACGGTTTCGACACTTTTTCGGGGTGCTCGCAGATCTTTCTGGGATGTGGTCCTCAAGTACGATGTGGGCAACACAGCCCTCGGCAAAGGGAAGCGATGCGGAGGAGGAGGAGGAGGAGACGGAGGAGGAGGAGGAGGAGGAGGAGGAGGAGGAGGAGGAGGAGGAGGAGGAGGAGGAGTGTTCTCGATCGCCATTCTTGTTGCCATGCTCTGACTGCAGCACGCGTGCGGCCTGGGCCGCGCGGGGTGTGCACGGCAGACTCGCGCCGCGTGTGGACGCGGCGGCGGCCCCGGCGCTGGCGTCCCCGGCCGAACGCCGCCGGTGCCTCAGAAGTCGGCCGACATCGAGCGATCTGCGGCATCTTCAGGAGGGAAAAAACACACAGGCACAACTAATCGTCGACTCTCCCGAGAAAATATGGGGAAATGCTGGACGTGGGGGGTAGGACAAAAACCCAGAAACTGTGGGAGAAGATTGGGAATCCTGTTGTTTGTGTATATTTATTTGTGTGTCCCAGGGCCCCGTCAGATCTGCGGCATCGGGACACCGCGATCGCTCGAGGCTGCTCGACCCGCAGGGGCTCGGGAGCCGACGCCGGCGTCCTCGCGGCGCGAAGCCGCCGCAGGGATGGTCTGCCACGGCGTGTGGCGTGGGGGGGGGAGGCCGCGTGGGGTCAGAGCCCCGAATCATCAGGGGTAACTCGGGTCAGGGATAACTCGGGTTCGTTTTTCGGGAATCCAAACCCGAGTTACCCCGGACCCGAGTTACCCCGGATAACTCGGGCGTCCAGAGCCCCGAATCATCAGGGGTAACTCGGGTCAGGGATAACTCGGGTTCCTTTTTCGGGAATCCAAACCCGAGTTACCCCGGATAACTCGGGCGCCCAATGGGGGGGTGGCTTCAGCAAGCGCGGCGAGGGGGGGGAGTCACGGGCCGCCAGGCGGAGCTGCAAGGAGAGAGTGTGTTTGTGGAGCAGTGTCTGGAGCGTGCGCCCTGGCGTCGTCGGCCCGTGGATGCCCGGCCACTGCTTCAGCATTGGGGTTGAGCCGGGCCTGTCCCTCTACAGGAGGAATGCTCAAGAACAGTGAAAGAATACTCAGGGGACGATGTTTTGGCTATTGTTGGGCATGTTGGGAGTATTGTTTGAGTATTTTTGTTTTTCGCGCAAAATCCCCCTGTAGGGAGACAGACCTGACTTAACATTATGGTTCACATCTCTCGCGGTGTCTCTCGTCGTGTCTCTCGCGTTGGTCCCGCTGCTCCGTGTGTCGTTTCATCGCTCGTTGTCTGTTTCCCACTGTTGTCACACATCTTGGTCACCTTAACAGCCAAACATTTGCCTCTGCTACCTGAACCTCCCTCCCCCTCCATTCGCTGTCGCTCGGAATTTCCAGACATGATGCAATTGCCATCCAGAGGTTGAACTTGCGCAACACCCACTCGGTTGGAGGGCGGCTCCTCTTCGAAGCGAGGCTGTCTTCGGACATTTCCCTGAACTTTCTGATCATACCGTCTCGGGGTCGATATGGCCCGCGTGCCCCCTTTCAAGACCTCTGTTGGAAATGCATGCGATCTGAACATGTTTTGCCGTTTCCATGATGGTATTTGAGACACATGTTTGTTTGCGTGTTCAGGTCTCAGCGTACACCGTAGGATAGGCATGCAATAACATAGCCACAACGCAATTATTCCGCCTTTTCAGGTGCGCGTTGGTTTCCCACAAGGCCAGGCCAGTGGGCTCCGGGGCTCGCCTCAAATGTTGTTTCTGCGTCAGCATCGCGTATTCCTTCCCGTTGCAGATTTTGCACCGGCAAGCCCTGCCTGGCACCCGCCCCACCCTGCAGGTATTGGACCAGGCTAATCGTTGGGTCCAGCCAGCCGCTAGGCCCAGGAGCTTGCAGGGAGAGGAGGGGCAGCGGATGGAGCGCGCAACCAAACACAGACAAAAGCGACGGTGCACAGCATGCGATCAGAAAGTGCAGAGCAGCACACCAGAGACGTAACAACAAACGGTGTGTGTGTTCCAATATTCTCGCTGCTGGAAAAGAAGATCGAGTGTGCAACTTGAATCAAACAACCTCCATGCCGATTCTTGGACATCTTCCAGAGCGCTCTCCAATCAGGAGTTTGAGGGGAGCCCCTTGGTGGCAGCAAGGGCCTCCCGCGGAGGCCCCACAGATGCAAAAGGCATCCCCAATCTGCACTCCTCCATCCTCCTTGCTGTCGGAACATTGCAGTCAGTTTGAGCCTGAGAAACAAGGCACCCTTGCATCCCGCGATTCTGGGCATCCTTCGTATGTATGGTTTCTTCCTCCGTCACAGGGAGGCCAAACACCTTGGCGCGTTCAACGCGCCCTGCACCCTCGCGCTCCATCCTTCTGTTTCGTTTAACCTGTACTCCGTAGTCGGGCCGGCCAGCGACGCGCTGACCCTGAACCCCCAGAGCTTTTTTTGTAGCACAATATTTGAGAACCTTCTAGAGCCCTTCGAGACCGCCCAGATCCCTCTCTCTCCTCCTCCCTTTCCCTCGCCAGCGCTCAACATCTGCCAACCCGCCCAAGAAGTACCCAAAAGAAGCGGTGATTGGTTTGAGGAGGTGCTCGGCAGGCGTTCGCCATCCGCCTCGCCGCCTGAGGCATCTCGCAAGCGAGACTGTCACTACCTCCTTCCTGCCAGCCTCCTCCCTCTCTTTCCCGCAGCAAGGTGCCGTAGGTGGAGCCGACCGGCGACGTCGCGTCGCCGACCCGATGACCCTGAAAGCAAGTGGAGCACGTCTAAGCTTGCGAGAGCGCTCCGAGGCCTTCCGAAGCTCTCCCCCTGCTCCGTTTGCCCCTCCTCCGCCACTCCGTGACCCCCCCCTCCCCTGGCCTCCGACGGCGCCATCTGGCTCGGAACGCTGGCCCCGGGTGGGCTCTGGCTCCCCGCCCATGGCTGGGGCCCGGGGGGCCCAGAACAGCCCCACCGGAAACCCACGTGCTGGAAGCACGACATTGCCAGCGGCTGTCGATCTGTGGTCCTACAAAACGGAGCATGGCCCCCTGCTCCCCTATCAGGTGTCCGGGGTGCCGACCAGCGACGCGGTGACCCTCCGCTTCCAGGCGGCGTCCCCCGGCGAGGCGTGGTGCGCCATCGTGAGCCCCGAGGCGGCCGAGAACGCGACGGTGCCCCGCGTGAGGTCTTCCTCGAGGAGGAATGGGAGGAGGAGGAGGAGGAGGAGGAGGAGAAGGAGAAGGAAGAGGAAGAGGGTTGCGATGGCCACGCCTACCTCAGCCTGTACAGTCAAAGTGAAGTTCGGGCCCCCTCGGGGGAGTTTTGCAGCAGCGTGCGGAGAGCGTCCAGGCAGCGGATGTGCCCCGGAAAGGCAGACACGTGGAGCTGGGTGCTCCAAGGTTCCCTCGACTGGGCCTGTAATGCTGGAGGCCTCTCGCTCGCAATTTCCGGCGTCCGGGTGGCCGTTCTCCAGGGCCGCGGGGTCCGTCCCGGAGCGTCCCGGGAGTGGGCAGTTGTCCCTAGCTGGGAACTGGGGTCGAGAGTTCCGGGGCGGAGGGGGGTTCCTGTGCCCAGGGGGGAGAAGGGGGGAAGCGGTCAAGGATGTGGGCATCGCTCGGACGTATGCATTTTCCTGGCGGGGACCATCGAGGCGCAGTTGGTTCATCTTGCGAAAAATGCACGCACGAAACCGAACATGCACGGGGAATGGACGTCCGAGCGATGGCAAGGGAGGGGAGGAAGGGGAAGGGATTCGGCTCACAGGCATCGGAGCACACAGCGCTGACTGTAGGACAGTGGAGAAGCCTACGTCATAGACCTTCACATCGTCGCTATCGCCTTTACCGACGAACACTCGGAAGGGGATCGGCCCGTTGGTCACTCTTTCCCTCACGCAGTCCTGGAAAAGGGACCAGCTGTCCCTGGGGAAGGCCAGTGGCGCGCGGCCGCGGGATTGCCGCCCCCGCGCCACAGGCGAACGATGCGTAGCGACGCGCCAGGATTTCGGACGAAATGCGGGTCCCGGGTCCCAGTGTCTTGGGACCAGGTCAAAGGGCTGTCGCTTCGAAAAACTTGTCTCTGGAGGTTTTGGGAGGGAGGGCAGGGGAGGGGGTAGGGCGAGGGCTTTGGATGTCTTTGCTGTCGCAACGGCCGTGTCGCATGTCGCCAACTGGGATGCTGGGTCGCCACGGCCAGAACCGCTTCGAAATCTTGGTGGGGAGGGGTTCCGAGGGACGTCCGGGTGTATCACTGTCGGGAAGGAGGCGGGGTCAGAGGGAGCGATGGGGGGCGGAGGATGAGGATTATCGGGGGTGGACAGAACCCCCAACAGTGACACGTCGATAAGTGAATTGTCCTTTTTCGGTTCTCGAGGGGGCGCCGTGGCCGTTCTTTTCCAGGCTCGCGCCCGCCAAGTTTGGGCCTCAGGTCGTTTTCACTAAACCACGTTTTACTAAAGGGGGGTCTGTCCATCCCCGAGATTAGGAGGTGAGATGGTGCAGGGAGGCGGATCCGGAAAGACGGCGCACACACCCAGCTGCTTGCGAAGAGTTCCGCCACCCTGCCAGCGCAGCAGCGCAGCAGGAAGGGCCGGTTGCGGGTCTCGAGCCATTCTATTGTCCGTTGGCGCTTGTACGACTGAACTGGTACGGGTTTTGCACCACTTTTCCCCTTCGTCTCTGGAGCGCCGGTCTCTCTTCCACGAGAACATGTTGAGTTGCCGAGGATGTGGATAATGTAAACATCGTTGGATGGTGACACATGGTAGATATGAGGATGAGGTTGAGTTGAATACTCCAGCTTTGTACCATGTCAGAACTGGCGCGGGTCTCGAAAGCGTTGGTCTTGTCCACAAACTCATCATTATCCTTCCTCCTTCACCTCGTTCCCCTCGCTCCCACAACTTGGAGGCAGACGAGGCGGGATGCGAGGAGGAAGTGTCACTGAAGACCCGTTCCAGTTCAGTGTCTTGCCTGAGCCCGCTGGAGTCTTGAACGCTCCCAGTCTGTCCGCAGCCTCGATCTCAGCTTCTTGGCCTCTCTGGCGGTCTTGGGAATCTCTCTGCCTGTCTTGGGGTCTTATTGGGCTGTCTAGGCTCTTTTGAGCCCTCCGAGCCCGTCTTGCGACTTCCTTGGGAGCCCTTTGGGCCGTCTTCGGCCCTTTGAAGCTCGACAAGGCGAGCATACTGCGCAAACCACTCGAGCATCAACTTAAGATCAGCGGGTCTTGCTTAATTCAGGAGGAAAAAAAACACACAGACACAATTAATCCTCGATTTCCCAGAAAATATGGGAAAATATGGGAAGTGGGCGGGAAGACAGAAACCCAGAAAATATGGGAAAATATGGGGGATTATTTTATTTGTGTGTATTTATTTGTGTGTCCTTGGGCCCCTTCATTAATGAGGGCCTCTGCCTAGTGGGCGTCCTCTTGAATTCCTCTAGGGCCGTCTTGGGAGCCTCTTCGGCTTTCCTGCGAGAATACCTGGCCTTCTCGGCACTTGCTCGGCCGTGCTGGATCGTCTAGGAGCGTCTTGCAGCAGTCTTGGGGCGGTTGTTGATTTCTTGGAGTTGAGTGACAGCCAAGAAGAAGGCCAGAGAGCAAATCCGGAAGTAACGAGATTTGGAGCATGTTTGCGATGAGGGGGAGGGCGCGACCCCAGAAGCACGACGGAAACATTTCCGGACAACAGGGGAGCATTCTGGTTTACCTGAACGTGCCGCTTTGGCGGTGCCAGATGCAGAAGAGTGGATGCATCATGTACGGGGGATGAGCATGGGGCGGGGGAAGGAGGGGGTGGACAGGGGCAGGAAAATGGCAGAAGGGGAACGTGGAGGAGGTGAATGGAGGGTGAGGGGTGGGCAGACCAGGCTGAGGAGGGGTCGGGAGTGAGGAGAGGGAGGGAGGAGATCGGAGGAGGAGGCGGCGGAGGAGGCGGAGGAGGAGGAGGAGCAGCAGGCGGTCGGAGGGGAGACAGGAGGGGGAGGAGGAGGAAACGGAGGGAGAGAAGAGGAAGGGGGAGTGGGAGCAGATGGACGACGAGCTGGATGAAAATAGGAGGAGGAGGAGGAGGAGGAGGAGGAGGAGGAGGAGGAGGAGGAGGAGGAGGGGGAGGAGGAGGGGGGGGAGGGATGAAGGAGGGGGGGAGTGAGGAGAGGGAGGGAGGAGATCGGAGGAGGAGGAGGAGGAGGAGGGGAGGGGGAGGATGGAGCATGAGGTCCAGCAGGAGGGGCAGAATGGCGGACAGCCATGGGGCGGGGCGCGTGGGTACGGCGTCTCCGGAGCGAGGCTCGCTGGGCTCGCCAGGCGCCAGACTGGCGCCCGTCGCCAGCTCCGCGGTTCCTGCTCGACTCAAGTTTGACTCAAGTCGGCGGACGTTCGACGCAGCGTGGACGCGTGAATGAATCGAGTCGGACGGTGCTAGGACGAGGATAACTCCGTTCCAGAGCATTCTGGAACGCGCTCCGAGCGTTCAGGAACGCTCTGAGAAGACCGCGACTCCCGAGACATCCTCCAGAGCCGCCAGATCTCAGAACTTCTCGATTTACCCTCACCCGATGTTATCCTCGTCCTGGCTTCGTCTTAGCGAGTGGCTCCAAGAAGGTCCCCGGAACGAGCATCTGAAACGGAGCCGCGCTTGTTTGTGGGCATACGAGCAGTGGCGCGAGTTGGTTCTTGGCCGTATGGTTGTGCTTTGCTGTTTGCCCGACTTCTACTGGAACCGCGAGCAGGTGACTGACGTCGTAACCCAAATGATCATTTGCAATGAGTGCGCTGCAATTTAGGTGGTGCAATCAATGTGGTGCAATCTACTTAGGTGGTGGTGTCACCCATGTGGTGCAATACAATGCAAAGCAATACAATGTGCAGCAATGCAAAGCAATTCATCGCAATGTTACGCAATGCAGCAATGCAGCACAATACAGCGTAATGCACATCAATGCAATGCAATACACATCATGGCAATGCAAATGAATACAACGCAATGAACAGCAATGCGATGCGATGCCACGCGCTGTGAAGCAACCATACTGTAATGCAAATCAGCTCACATATGCGATGTGATGCGAATGCAATGCAATGCAATGCAAAGGCATTGCAATGCAAGGCATTGCGAGTGCAATGCGATGCGGTTGCAGATCAGCGAGTGCAGCCGAATGCGAGGCGATTGTAGTGCCATGCAGTTGGTCATGCGGTGCGATGCCATGCGATTGCCATTGCCGCGGGGCGTGGGCGGCGGCGGACGAGGCCGGGGCCGCCGGGCCCGCACACTGGCCTTCCATATCGGGGCAGGTGGGGGGTGACTCAGGAGGGGGAAAAACACACACAGACACAATGAATCGTCGACTCCCAGAAAATAGGGGAAAATATGGGAAGGGGGGGGGGAAGACAGAAGCCCAGAAAATATGGGGAAATATGGGGAACCGTTTTATTTGTGTGTCTTTATCTGTGTGTCCCAGGGCCCCTTCAGTGACGGCGGACGAGAAGAGCGGGGCCGCCCGGCTCGCAGGCGGCACCGGCTCCTCAGAGAAGAGGCAAGTCAGGCACCCCAGGTTGGGGTCGGGCCTGTCCCCCCACAGACGGTTTTTGGGCGAGCAACCACAGAGGTTTCTGGGTTTTGGGGGGACAGGCCCAACCACAGAGGTTGTTGGGCCTGTCCCCCCACAGACGGTTTTTGGGGGGACGGTTTTTTATCCCCCCACAGACGATGTTTGGGGGGACAGGCCCAACCACAGAGGTTGTTGGGCCTGTCCCCCCACAGAGTACCCCAACCATGCTCAAAGATAGTCAAACACATCGTCCCCAGATCATCTTTTTAACTATGTTTGAATCTTTCTCCTGTAGAGGAGCACGCCCACCTTACCCCCTTGGTGCAAGACCTCTTTGGGGAGCGCCTCGCGAGGGGACGTCGTGAACCTCTTGTTGTTTTTCGGCCTCCGCGGGCTGGGTAGTCGAAGGCCAGACTGTCAGACTGGATTGGGCCCCAAGGGCCAATCTGGCCTGGCCATACTGGATGATTTGGGTGAGTCGCCAGACTGGAGTCGCGCTGGCTCCCTCGCCAGATTGCCCCCGCTTGCCAGATTGGGCCTGCCAGATTGGCGCCAGATTGGCTTCGACTACCCGGGCGGGCCGCGCCAAGGGGCGCCACGGGGCTGTCCGGGAGCGGGCTCGAGGCCTCACCGGGGGGCGTCGGCGCGGCAGAGCCTGGGCGAGGCGGGGGCAGGTGGCCATTGTGCAGGCCAGCACGTCGGCGAGGCTCAGGTGGAACGGGGGAGGGAGGGGAGGAAAGGGCGAGGAAGAGCGAACAAGAGGAGGAGGAGAAGGAGGAGGAGGAGGAGGAGGAAGAGGAGGAGGAGGAGGAGGAGGAGGAAGAGGAGGAGGAAGAGGAAGTGGGCGACAAGAAGAGGAGGAGGAGGAGGAGGGGAGGAAGGCAGTAGGGGGGGCAGGAGATGGCGCCCATTGTCGAGCAGTGGTGCTGGTCTTTGGGCGTTCGGCGCGTCGCACGCGCCAGAGTTCGGAGCTGGTGCACTGATTCAGGCTTCCATCTGTGGGAGACGGTGAGCCTTGGTCATGGCGATCTGACCCGATCAGGGCGCGTTGCCAAGGTACGTAGTGTTTGTTGGGGCTTGGTGCCCCACCCACTCGAGGGAAGAGGAGGAGGAGGAGGAGGAGGAGGAGGAGGAGGGAGAAGGACGTTTTGCGAGGAGATGGTGTAGTAGGAGTGGGAGGACGAAGAGGAGGAGAGGGCAAACGAGGGAGATGGGGAGGAGGGGAGGGTGGGGGGAGAAGAGAGAGGCTGAACCAGGGCGGATGAGAGCTGAATAGCCAAGCCGAAGCGCAGGACCGATTGATTCGAATCTCGTAAGCGAATGGAAGCCTCACCTTCCCGAGGCCGCCGTTGAGCGACACGCGCTGATTGGTGCTTTGTAGCTGATTGCGAGATCTTTGCAAGTTTGCTTGCAAGCCCGCACCCCATGCCGTCTCACACGAGCTGACTCCAGCATGGCAGCTGGTGATCCAACGCCAGCTGCCACTTCCCGCCTTGTCGCGGCTGGGAGCTTCCTCCCACGGGTATCATCTGCAGCGGCCTTCTCGCATGAGCAAGCAGACTCTTGCGTCGTAGCGTGACTTTCTCATACGAGCTCCTTTCTGTCGGCGACAACGCTTAACGGCCCACCGCCGGTGGGCCGTCGGCTGCAACTGCTTGCCTTCTCGTTCTGCCAGGGTATGCTGCCACTGCCAGTCCTATGGCATGAGATTGTAGCTGATGTCCTACTCCCACGGCCGCCCATGTGTCAATGCTGCAGCCTGTTGCAAGAGCGCGTCCCTTCTCGCACGAGCTGGTCCCGCCGTTGTGGCGCGATCGTCCTCGAGGAGCCCCCTTCGGGTTGCGGCATCAGCGGGGTGATGACAGTCGGCTCGTGCGCCGCCTCCCCTCTCCTCCTCCCCCTCCCCCTCCTCCTCCTCCTCCTCCCCTCCTCCTCCTCCTCCTCCTCTCCTCCTCCTCCTCCTCCTCCTCCTCCCCTCCTCCTCCCCCTCCTCCTCCCCCTCCTCCTTCCCTTCCTCTTGCCCCTCCCTCTCCTCCTCCCTTGCTGGCTCAATCCTGTCACCGGGGCGGCTGAAGCAGCAGCCGCCCCCTCCGCCTCCTGCCCGTGCGGCGCGGACAGCGCTGCTGCCCCGGGCCTGCCCCCCCCTCCCTCGCCCGAGGTGAGCCGCGCGTCTCAGCCGGCGACCTTTCCCGCGACCTCTCTCTCGGGGGTGGACAGAACCCCCAGTATCCAGGCCTCCTAGATGGGGTCGGAATGGATGGGGTCGGAGGATCGCGCTGCATCGCCGATGCATCGGCGATGCGGCTCGATGCGGAGCCCGATTTTCTCCACGCCGACGTCGCCGATACATCACCGACGTCGACGGCTCATCGCCGGTGCATCGCCGATGCATCGCCGATGCATCGCCGATGTATCGGCGATGCGGCGCGGTCTTCCGACCCCATCTACTCTGACCCCATCTAGGAGGCCTCTACAGTAGTGACACGTCGATTAGTGAATTGTCCGTGTGCGGTTTTCGAGAGGGCGCCGCGGCCGGCATTTTCCAGGCCTGCGCCCGCCAGGTTTGGGCCCGAGGTCGTTTTCACCAAACCACGTTTCACGAAAGGGAGGTCTGTCCATCCCCGACTCTCTTAGCCTTCACGGGCTCGCTGCTCGCTGGGAGGAGGCGGAGGGAGCGTAGGGAGAGGCTGTTGCGCGCGAACGTCTTGTGTGAGGTAGCGCGGCCGACGGCAATGGGTTCGTCTCTCTGCAGACAGCTTCCGCGCGCGTGGCCGCGTCCAGGTCGGCCCGCGCGGGCCGCCCGCGCGTGCCCTTCCCACTTCTGCTCCGCAAGCTGTTGTCAGCCGTACAGGCTCGCCTTACGCCTATGTTGCTACGGTCGCCACGGCGCCTCACTCGGATATTTGCGCACGCCTCGCGAGCACTGTAGCCACAAGAGGCAAGGCCGAAAAAGTAAAGGGGCCGTATCAGGAGGAGAGTGGCCTTCGGCCAGGCATGATCGCGCAGCGCAGCATCTCCAGGTTGCCCGTGGCGTCGCGTCGACGCGTGGCGTTGGTGATGTCATATCCTCCATCCGCATGTCGGCCACGCACGAGTGCCCTTTCTATTCCCTTCCCTCTGAGATCTCCTCCCCTCTTTGGTTCCTTCCATCGTCCTTTCAATCGTGGTTTCTCTACCCGTCCTCGTCGCCTCTGTGACGCCGTTCCGTTACCATCTTCACCGGCGCCCACCTCTCCCGACGACCGTTGAGTCACGTCAGTGCTCCATCGTCGGCCCCTTCGGTCATATAGTGATGAACATTTGTTTTGCGCTTCCAGGTCAGCTGAATTCTCGCTTGGGAGTTCATCTTGCTGCCAGAGGACCACTGGCAAAAATGTGGACGACGGCGTTACCGAGTGGCGGCTCACTGGGTGCCGCGATTCTGATGCTTGATGGAAAAGACGGGGAGCGAGTGCGGAATAGGATCATGCGTTGGCGACAGAGTTACGTGGATGTTGCAATTGCCTTCGCCGCCTATGGCTATTGCACTGCAGCGCCATCCCCCGTCGCCCCATCTTACAACGTACTTTATACAATGTGCAGTGGGCGAAAGATCTGGACGCGCATGAAGAGCACTCGGCTTGGGTATGTCAATCCCGATCGCGTCGATGTTGAATTTGGTTGAGATTGCGCCGGAACGCCCTGAGATTCTTGGGCTTACGCCGCGCCGCCGACCCCTTGAGGGGCTCCTGGTAGGTCTCTCAGGGGCCTCCTGGCAGCACTTTTGATGCCTTTTGCGGGCGGTTTGGGGGCCTCTTGGGGCCTCTTTTGGGCTTCTGGTGGGCCTCTTGGAGCCTCTTGGGGGCTTCTTTGGGGCCTCTTGGGGCCTCCTGGAAGCTTCTTGGGGCCGAGGGCTCGAAATTTCCGTTCGGGTCCCCCGCCTGAGTCCTCCTGGAGCCGTCTTGGGGGCCTCTTGCGTCATTTTTGGGCCCTCTTGGGCCGTCTTGAAACCCTCTTGGGGGCTTCCTGGGCCGTCTTGGGGCGATCTTGGAGGCCTCTTGGGCCGTCTTGGATGTTGTGAAAGCCCGAGAGGCGAATGTGCTAAAATCATACGATTTTGACTTCTGGGGGCCCTCTTGGACGCCTCTTAGGGGCCTCTTGGGGCGTCTCGGGGGCCTTTTGGCGTGTAGGGGCCTCTTGGGGCGTCTCGGGGGCGTCTCGGGGGCCTCTTGGGGCGTCTCTTGGGGCATCTCGGGGGCCGTGTGGGGGCCATCTTGGGCGTCTTGGAACGATCCATCGGCGACTCGGGGCCCTCCTGGACCATCTTGTGGGCCTCTTGGGGCCCTCATGGCCCGTCGTTTTCTCTCTGGCTCGATCACCCGGGGCCGGCCGGACCCCCCCCCCTCCAAACCGGGCCCGGTAGAGGGGTTTGGGCAGGGGGGGGCATCTCACACGCCGATGACCCCAAGGGGTCGGCGAATTTCCGATGTTATGATTGCTGCACGTCGGTCCTGGAGTGTTCAACCCCATCCCTGGCGGCCCCGTTGTTGCTTTTTGTTGGCCTCGCGGGCCTTTTCTTCCCCCGAGGCCCGAACACAGTTCTTGGACACCAAAGTCCTTGACGCTCCGCGTATTGTCACTAGACCAGTCGAAAACGATGCCCACGGGAGTTGCCAGGAGGAGAGACGCAGATCAGCCATGTAGTGAGACAGACAGGCCTACAATGGTGAACATAGAGACCCCTGTGGGCCTCTTGGGATGGGGCCCTTTTGGAAGGCACTGAGGCGTTCTTGGGGCCCTCTTGGCGGTACTGGGGGCCTTCTTGCAGGCCGTCAATCAATGAAAAGGCGAAGTTGAAATCAAGCCCCCCCTCTCGGAACCCGAAGGGTCGCCTCTTGGGACGCTCTAGGGGCGCTCTAGGGGCGCTCTTGGGGGCGTCTTGGCGTCTTCACGCCCCCCACCTCCCCCATTTGCGGCTTTCCTGGGCCATCGGGGAGCCATGCTGACGCTCTAGAGGTGCATCGGAAGCGAAAAGGCTCGGTAGCGAAAAGGCGAGGGGAAGGTTTTTGTTCAACGAGTTAGGAGGCGGCGCGGACGCTGCGGGGCACCTGGGCCCCACCTGTCGCGGGCTCCTGGCGGGGATCAGAACGAGCAAGGTCGCTCCCAGGGTGTGCGAAGACAACCGCGCTTCGCGCGTCACGGCCAGGGATTCTGAGGTGGCCTCGTTGCCGAGCGAACAACACACACAGAGCCATACCCATAGGGGAGGTCGGGGGGAGGAGCTCTGGTCATTGAATTCTGGCGCTGGTTGTCGGTCCTTGCGGGGGTCTCCCTTTCGAGCGGGGACCCCCATCCGACAACACGCGCCCACAGCCCCATCCGTCCCCCCTATGGGTATGGGTGTGTATGGTTCCTTTGTCACCTGTTCAGGGGGCGCCGCGAGGGCGCAAAGATAACCGTGCATCGCAGGGTAGACGACAGGGGCGTACGCGAAATAAGCCGGCCTCCGCGATGCCTCCTGCCCTCTCTGCCCCTCTCGCGGCTCCAGCGCGGGGGGCCAGGGTCGCGAAACTGGCAGAGTGCATGTGCGTCCTCCTGCCTGGTCGTGCCAGGTTCCCGTCGGCGGAGTCTTTCGCCCTTTCGGATCTCACTTGGCCTCTGTCGCAATTGCGCCGGCTGCGCTGGGCGAGGGGCGAGCAGCCATTACCGGTCGGAGCTTCCATGGCAACATCTGCGTGCGGCGCAGGAGTGCTCAGTTGCTCAGCAGACATTGCCAGTCCGGCCCTTCGCTGTCGAGCCCGAGACCAGGTGCGGCCTCAGTGTCGGGGTCACCTACGAGGCCTTCGTTTACATCGAGCGCAACGGCGAGGTGGGTCCTTGCGGAGAGCAAACGGGCTTTCGGTCTTGGGCCGTTTCGGAGGACGAAGGAAGTTAGATCACGAATGCACGTCAGTTTGAGGAGTTTGATTCTTAGGTATGCCGCCATTGACGCATCACACTCACAGGCGCGCGCACATGTACATTTGCATGATAATGTGTGTATGTACTTGCGGCGGACTTAGAGGTACGTATACCCAGCGCTAACCATTAACCAAGCGTTGCCGTCCAACAGATCACTCGTTAAGTTGATGCGGATGGCATCCTCGCTCGTTTTGTTCAACGTGTATGTTTTCGTGTTGCGAGACTGTGGTAGGTCAGATTAGATCTGTGTCACGACGATGTCTGTCGGCAGCCCATTGTGTTCGTTTTGCGTTTATTGTGAATGGCGTACACTTCCGTTCTCGATCGCAATCTGTTTCGGCCCCTCTCTCTAGAGAACAGAGTTGTTCAAAAGATACGATGGATGTGGTGGGCTCGATCCCCGTATACACTACTGGTTCGTATAGTCTGGAAGCAATGCGATGAGAGCGCAGCAGACCGACATAGCCGATACACTTGGGACTCGTCTGGGTGGCACCATCACGCGACACTGAAGTTCTTTAGGGGGAGCATCTGGGAGACACGCCGAGGACAATTGAATAATGGACCAGCGGTGCTGTCGCACAGAAGAGCGAAGCTTTTCGGCGAGAGCGAATTCATTCTCACAGCACATGCAAACGTGGCTCGGGCTCGCCGGTTTTCGACTGAAGTCCCATGCACGTCCTGTTTGACATCTATTGTTTGAGCCTGGAAGTTTGGCGTCGGAGTGCTCTGGGCGGCACCGAAGATTTCTGTCATCACGACTTCGTCCTGGGGCCGCGCCGAGGGGGGGAAGTGAGAGGGGGCTCGCCTTCTCAGAAGGCGGCGGCGCTTCGGGAAAGACTTGGACATCGTTTGCAGTTCCGAGACTGCCTTCCCTCCCTGGGAGCGCGCCGCCGAGTGCGGGGTGCCAGGGCCGAGGGGCTGCAGCCAGGAGCCAAGCGTGCACAGAGCCGCCGGCACAGCGCCTGCGCGGGCCTGTTGGCGGCGTCGTGAGCTGGCCCCCAGTCTTGCAGGTGGGAGCCATCGCCCACACCGCATCTTCGGGGGGTCTGGCCTGTCCACTTGGATTGCGGTCGTCACTCGAAGCGGATTCGACGTGGGCTCGTGGATTTTCGACGCGGATTCGGCGCGGACGGCGACGCGGTGGGACAGACGAGAACCCGCGAAGATGTAGCATCGCAACGCATTGTTCTCGGCATCGGTGAGGCGTTGCGTTGCATGATGCAGTGCCAATCATTGCGGACTATGTTTCGAGCCATCGTTACCTGACGGGGCGCACTGATACTCGCATGTGAATCGAGTGTTGGTCGAGTGTCGGCAAGCAATCTGTATGCTACGTTAGCGTCGAACGTCCGTGTGCGGTTGAAGCCGAGGACGCAATGCCGAGTCAATGGTGCTGCACTTGTTCGTGGATGCTGCATCTCTGATTGAAGTCACCATCGTCCGTGGTTATTTCGAACATAGAGTCGCGGGCTCTGTGAAGTGAAACATGTATAGGCAATGTGAAGCATGCACCGGATGTGCACACAGTGCGTAAGGGAGAAGTTCTGTGTTTGGATGCCCGCTCGTGTCATCGCTAGTCATGTGCAAGGGCATGACACATATGATTATTCGGGTTTTGCTTTCAACCGCAGACTCATGCAGCGACAAGGATTGTGCAAAGTATCCTGATAGCTGCTCGCGAAACACGCTCTATTGTCATGTGTTTGTTGTGAGGCGTGGGGGGGCGTTAGTTCATTGCACTTCCGTATGACTGCCAGGGATTGCAGTTTCAATTAGGTGAAAGTCTCCTATGTGTGAAATTTGATGTTGCGCATCCGTGCAACTGATTAGCGACCATCTCGGCTAGTTCTTCCAAGATCACTAAGGTCGGCAAGCCCGCTGGTCACCAGTGGTCGTTGCGACGCCAGACCACGCTAGTCGGCTCGATTGTGCGACTTCTCGAACGATTCTGTGTGCTTCACTGGTCTCCACTTCATCTAGGCGCATCCCCAAGCCCGGTCGCCCAGGGTCATTCGGGAGGTCCACGCTAGGAGTCTTTGGTCTCGCCTGGGTCTTGGATCCCCGAGATTTCAAGGTAGGTTGGTTGTCCTGTTTTTTTTTGCGTGCGTGTGTGTTTGTGTGTAGGTGTGTGTGTGTGTGTTTCTTTGTGTGTGTGTGTTTGTGTGTGTGTGTGTGTCTGCAGGTGTGCGTGTGTGTGTGTGTGTGTGTGTGGAGGGGAATCGTACGAATGCCATACATTCCATTCCACGTTACGCTATGCATTTTATTGCTACGCTTTGCGATGCCATGTCTTCTGATTGCTGCAGGTATCACAGGGCTTGCATGTGCAGTCAGGCCATGGTGTGCAGACAGGCCATGCAGTAGATCGTGCTGTTTGACCTGCTATGTCGTGGTGTACGTAGGCAAAGGATCTGCGTTGTCATGTGACGCTGCAGCACGATGTATTACGCCATGATCGGATCCTCGGCAAGCAAGTGGTATGCCGTGCCATCCCTCGCTGCGCTTCGCTCACACATGCCAGATGGACGGTGTTGCGCGCTCGGTTGGATGGGCGTGAACAGGGCTCCGTATGGGCCGCCGTGTCTTGCTCGAGGAGTGTCCGCCGCATGCAGGCGTCGTCGCGTCCTTGCGGCTAGCAGTGTCGCGCGTGGAACGTGCCATGTTTAGGCCGGCTTAGGATGAACGCCCTGAGAGCATTCCAGAGCCCTCTGAATTGGCCGCGGCGCCCGATGCATCCTCCAGGCCCACCAGTTCCCAGAAGTTCCCGCGCTATCTCGATCTGAGTTTATTCTCATGTTGCCGTCGTCTTAGCATGCAGCTGTCGTTGCGCTCGTGCGGTGAATTCGCAGCCGTGCACGTGGAGCCAGGCTTCACTCTCCTCGACCGCTCCTCAGGACTTGTCTTGGCCCAATGTGTGCTCACCTTCAGACCAACCTGTAGCACGCAGCCTTTGTAGGCCCCCACTGCATCACCTGCGTCGCATGGAGGGGCTCTGGTGGACACGCACGCATTAGCAATGACACTCTGGGGCCTCCAGAGGGTGCGGTGACCACACCGTGTCGTGAGACAGTGCGGCTTCGGGGGGACCGCACGATTTTGGGACTTGGGGGTCGTTCTGCGAGGATGTATCAGGCGCCTGTGGCCTCCAGGGTCCCGAAACAGTGCGATCACGGACCGTGCGGCAGGGTCTCTGGGGATTTCGAGGTCACCGCGCGGTCTGCCAACGCACCGTATCGTGACACCCAGGGCACGATGTGAGCATGACCGATCCCTTAAGGTGGGCACGCTGAGCCCGGGCTTCCAGTTCATGCCCGAGGGGGCCACGAGCTATCTGCGCCTGCGCTGGCAGGACGAGGGCACCGACGCGAGCCCCGTCGAGCAGTGGCCTGCGCCTGCGGCCCGGCGCGCCGGATCGCTGCACGGGTCCGCTGCAGGCTGAGCAGAGTCGGTCGTCATGCGCACGTGCAACGGCACGGGCACGGCTGCAGCCACACGCATAAGCAGGACATCTTTGGCGACCCAGGCTCGAGCGCACACACACACACACACACACACACACACACACACGCACACGCACACACACACACACAACAGCACATTCACACAACACACTCGCGCTCTGCGTCTTCGGTTGCGCACGTAAGCATACACACTAACCTTATTCCTCCGGGGCGCGGATGGGCTGCAGTCGACGGTCTAGGAAGTACTAGGGCACGTACACGCGTGCGCGCAATTACACAGATCTCGCCACACGCACGCACACACAGACAAACACACACACACACACACACACACACACACGTACACAAACACATACGCACACACGCACACGCGCACTTGCACACACACACACACACACCACACACACACATGTACACAAACACATACGCACACACGCACACGCGCACGCGCACGTACAGCATCTTCACTTCTGAGACACGCACGCGCGTGAGTCGAAGTTGCGCCCCGGATTCGACCCGAAGTCAAGAGGAGAGGTGGTGTCAGAGCGAGCTTGCGATGGGCTGAGGAGAGGCAGGTGGGAAAAGGCGCATGGCGCCTGCTTCCCAATCGGAAAGTATTTGCCAAGTCCTGGCATTTTCGCGGTCAACGCCAAGGCTAATCGGGGTTAATCCGGCTGAATCCTGTTTAATCCCGTCTATTCTGGCTCACTTCAGCTAAATCCAGTTGAATATTGGGCTTAATCCGACCTCATCCAGTGAAGTGGCCCTTCAATGGTGCTCATTCGCCCTCAATCGTTCCAGCGAAGACCTCACAGGAGTTGCCTCCTAAACTCTGAAAGGAAGGAGGCGCCGTCTCTCCACCCTTCGTCAGTGGAGCCACTCACCCCGTCCGAATAACATTCGGCATTTGCAGTCTCGATTGTCCCACACGTTGACCGAACATCATTGTCGATTCCGTGCCTAGGCGCGCTTGCTAAAGATCCTCGGCTATGTGGGGTGTTCATTCTCCGAGGGGCTCTTTCGCCCTCTGCCTGTGGTGTCGGCGACGACAGCTTGTCATTCTGCTTCTCCCGTCTCGCCTCCCTTCGCATCGCCTCCCCGGTCCTTCCCTCCTTCCACCCCCGCCTGCCCCCCCCGCGCCGAGCGTCGGTGCAGGAGCTGTCGGGGCGATTGCCATTGCCCCGCCTCGAGATACTGAGGGCAGTGGCTGCCAGCCTCACCGCCCTGGGAGAGTGCCTCAGCCAACAGGCAGGGCTCGCTGGACCAGGATCGTGAGGATCCGATCGCAGTCCGAGCTGAAGGGTGCCCAGTGAAGTGGGCATCTGCACCTGGAGACGTCTGGCAGTTGTTTTTGCCCGCCCCATGGGCGTGTCGCCGGCTGGACCAGCCGCGCGTTGCGATGCCCAGCGTGAGGGGACATGGACCCGCGGTGGTGCCCTGGTGCCCACAGGTGGCGCGTCTACCTGAATGGCAGCGTGGTCTACGACGACAATGGGCTCAGAAGCAGCTTGGAGCAGGAGCTCAGCGATTGCTTGCGAGCACTGGGGCATCCATGCACGTCCATGGAAGCAGTCATGGAGTGCTGCACGTATTCAGGGGGCGACGGACGAGAAAGGGAGGGAGGGGAGGTCTGGAAGGACGCAGGGAAGAGGATCAGAAGCAGCAGCAGTTTCATGCGCAGCACGGGGAAGCAGCAGCAGGATCGAGAGGCGAGGAAGGACTAAGTTCAGAGGCAATCGTCAGCAGAAGACATCTATACACTGCCACCGCCGTGCCTTGGCCTGTCTAGGATGGTGTGAAGAACGTCCTGGCCTCAGCCAGGAGGGCGTACGCACCATGCCAGGGACCTGGACGGCCCTGGGCAGGCATGGTGGTCGCCTGTTTCCACGCAAGCAGCCCCGGCCAGTGTGTGGACGGGCCTCCACCAGCAGGTCCTTGCGCGAAGGGTTCGCGTCCCCGTCTCCTCTTATGTCTCCTTCTGTCCCTGCGCGATTCCCACCCCGGTGGTGTGCAGGTGCCGTGTGCGAAGATCGAGCTGGACTGTGAGCGCGAGGATCCGCGCTCACAGTCCAGGTTCGGCATCTTGGGTATCTGGGAGGCCACGGAGGTGTAGATAGATTTGGAGGGCGTTGGGGCCGGAGCGGGTTGGGAGCCAGGGGGGGCCGAGGCTGGGTATGCTTTTGTTTTTTCCGTGACTCTCTGGGAGGGCCTGAACACAATCTTCTTTATCCGTAAGGGCTTCGCCCCATGCCGCCGGCCCCCTGTCTCGGATAATGGGCGATGCAAAAGCTAAATCATGAGGTCTGGGCGCCACCGTGAAGTAGTGTCGGGACCTGTTTGTTGTTGGACCCTGGCCCCGCCGATCTGCGTGAGGGGTGCCACCGAATTTGTGAAACGTTGCAAATGCTATTGTTTTTATTGACCCTGAACTGCGGATCTGCGAAAGGGGTGCCACCGAATTTCAGATATGTGGCACATCCCCTTTATTTTGGACCCTGGCCCCGCCGATTTGCGTGAGGGACGCCACCGAATTTCTTAGAAATGTGGCAAATCCATCTTTGCTTGAGGGGTGCCACCGAATTTGAGAAATGTGACACATCCCCCGTGTTTTTGGACCCTGACCCCGCCGATCTGCGTGAGGGGTGCCACCGAATTTCAGAAATGTGGCAAATCTCTTCTGTCTTTGGATCCTGACCCTGCGGATCTGCGTGAGGGGTGCCGCCGAATTTGAGAAATGTCACACATCCCTTGTGTTTTTGGACCCTGATCCCGCCGATCTGCGTCAGGGTGCCGCCGAATTTCAGGAATGTGACACATCCCAGCATGAGGGGTGCCACTAAATTTCAGAAATGTGGCACCACTAAATTTCTGGAATGTGGCAAATCCCATATGTTTTTGGACCCTGACCCCGCCGATCTGCGTGAGGGGTGCCGCCGAATTTTAGTGTGGCAAATCTCTTGTGTTTTTGAACCCTGACCCCGCCGATCTGTGTGAGGGGTACTACCGAATTTCAGGAATGTGGCACATCTTTTTTTTTCAGGGGGGGGGACCCTGACGCCGCCGATCTGCGTGAGGGGTGCCACCGAATTTCAGAACTTTGGCGAATCCCATGCATGTGTTTTTTGACCCTGACCCCGCCGATCTGCGTGAGGGGTGCCACTGATGTTCAACAATGTGGCAAATCTCTTGTGTTTTTGGATCCTGACCCTGCGGATCTGCGTGAGGGGTGTCAATGGTTACCCACCCACAAATTTTGAGAACCCTCGCAGAGCATGGTAGTTCTGCTGGTTTGGGCTCCCCCCCTCCTCGCGCGTTCATCAACAAGGAAGAGTCAGCAGCAAGAAGCAGAACTGTAACATTGGAAACTGGAAGCTGCAACTGGTACATGGAGCAGCACGTTCCCGGCCTACAGCCTGGTGGCCCCGCAAGGGGGCCGGCGGATCCGCCTTCTCACTTCATGCTTTTACCTACTTCTTCCGTCCGACGTGTCCCCCTTTCGGGCGGCAAGACCAGAGCTCTGCTGGACCTCTTGACCTCTTCCCGAGGACCAGCCTCTCTGCTCCCGAGCCTCGTTTCCCGACGGCCCCAAGGCCCAGTCGGGGCCCCCCGAAGGCCGAAGCCTGCCAACCGCGTCAGCGCGCGTCACGACGGGAGGATGTCGGGTCCTCTGATGATGCAGAAATCCTCGAGACCCGACGCTCTAGAAAACCAGGCAGCTTTTTGACTGTTTTCGGCCTCCAGGGGCCCTCGTCTGGGAACGTTGAGGGCGTTATGTTTTCACGTTTTCAAGATCGACGTTTTCTGGGTCCTTTTTGGGATTCTCGTCCAGGCCGTTTTCGGGTGTTCCGGTTTGTACTGCAGTTGTTGTTTTTGTTTGCAGGTTGCAGTTTGCGTTAATTCCCGTATTGGCTAGCCCAAAACGGAACAGTTGACAATTGAGAATAAAAAAACAGCGTTTGTTACATCAGCGAAGTGTCAGTTTTGTAGTTTCTGGGAAGTTTTATTTGCATGGAGCGAGAGGGTGGGCGTGGCGGGACCCGAACGGAAATTTGCACTTCACGCAGGTCGGGGCTCACTCGCACGCGTTTTCGGCCCGGCGCTGGCTGAAAACGCGGCGGAAAGGGGGGGAGGCGGGAAAAACGCCGTGCAAGCAACCTTGCCGGCGTCGCAAGAAAAAAGGCGCCGAGCGGCAAACTCGGCGGCACCCTGGGCTGCAAGCCGAGCGGCAAGCTCCGCGGCGTCGCCGGCCCTGCGGGCAAGCCAGGCGGCACCCCGGGCTGCACCCATAGTGGGCCACTTGCGAACCCTACCCCTGCCTCCCACGATTTTTGAGGGGCAGGGTGGGGTTCACTTCGCTCGGGAGCTCCTGAATTATGTGAACCCCACCCGCCCCCTCAGAAATCGTGGGGGGTAGGGGTACTTTATTAGTGGATTTAATTGGTTTTAGGGTTTTAACAAATGGTCGCAGCCACGCAGAGGGCGTGCGTAGCGACGCCCCAAATGCTCGGTCTCCAGTACTTCTACGTGGCGGCGCCCCCGCAGGCACGCAGAGGGCACGCGTGGCGACGGGGGCGTCGCCACGCAGAGCTTCGAAAGACCAAACATTTTGAAAACCAATTGTTCCCACTACTAAAGTAGGGTTCGCATGTGGCCCCCTAACCCGGCCGGCCGATCGGGGCGCATGCTGGCGCCCGTGCGAGCGGTGGCCTCGCCCGCGGCGGCGCGGGCGCCCTGCTGGCGGCTCGCGCGCAGCGCCGCGCGCAGCGCCGCGCGCAGCGCCGCCTCGTCGGCGCCGCGGCCGCGGCCCGGCGAAGCAGCGCCGCGGCGGCAGGGCGCGTGGGGGCCGCCCGCGGCTGCCGCGGGCTGCCCGCGGAGCTTCGGGGCGCCGGCCGGCGCGCGGCGCGCCGCCGCGGCGCCGGGCGGCTGCCTGGAGCACTACCTGAAGCTGAGGGCCGGCGGCAGCATCCAGGAGGACCCGCGGCAGGAGGTGTGCATGTCGGGAGCGGAAAAGAGGGGGGTGATGACTAGGGGGGGGGGGATTTCATGGCGCGGGCCATGATTTTTCCTCAGATTTCATGGCGCCTCTTCTTATTTCATTACGTCCCAGGCCCCCCCGCTGGGCCGCGCACATGCCGCCGGTCATGATTTGCACCCCCCCCTCTTGGACACCCCCCTCTTGGCCGCTCCCGAGCATGGGGATGCTGGACGAGCTGCAGAGGACGCTGGCGAGCTACTCGCCCAAGCCGGTCGGCGCCCCGAGGGCGCAGGCCAGCGGGGGCGGGGGCGGCGGGGGCGGCGGGGGCGGGCTGTTCTCGGGCCTCTTCGGGGGTGGCGCCAAGCCGAAGGCCGCTGCCACTCCGGCAGCGCCGCCGGCACCGAAGCCAGCGGCTGGGCAGGTCGGCCTCTACCTGTGGGGCGGCACCGGAACGGGAAAGACTTTCATGATGGATATCTTCTACGACACGATGCCGATCCAGAGGAAGAAGCGGATCCACTTCCACGAGTGGATGATAGACGTGCACAACCGCCTGCACAAGAAGCAGAAGGGCAGCAGCGCGAATACGAACAAGAGCGCGGACGACCTGGTGGAGCAGGTTGCCGCTGAGATGCTGGATGAGGCTTGGCTGCTCTGCTTCGACGAGTTCCAGGTCACGCACATCAGCGACGCCATCATCATGAAGCGCATATTCTCCGTCCTCTTCGAGCGGGGCGCCGTGGTGGTCGCAACCTCTAACAGGCCACCAGAGGACCTGTACTTGAACGGGCTCAACAGGCCACTCTTCCTGCCTTTCATACCGATGCTGCAGGATTTCTGCCGCGTTCACCCGATAGGCGCCGAGGTGGACTACCGCATGATCGCCGTCGGCGCGGGCGAGGACAGCCGCACGTACATCCACCCGCTCGGGGAAGCGGAGAGAAAATTGCTGGAGTACAAGTTCGCCAAGATCTGCCAGGGCAACGTGCTGACCTCCGCACAGCTGGAGGTGCAGGGCCGGAAGATCTTTGTGCCGAGGTGCGCCGAGACGTCGAACGTCGCATGGTTCGGTTTCGCTGATTTGTGCGACAGGCCCCTCGGCGCCGCGGACTACCTGGCTATAGGGACTGCTTTCCACACCGTGTTCATCGCAGATATACCCAGACTGACGATGCAAGAGCGCGACCAGGTGCGCAGATTCATCACGTGCATAGACTCTTTGTACGAGCGTCACACCAAGGTGGTGTGCACTGCAGCACTGGACCCAATCAGCTTGTTTCACGTGACCGAAGAGGAGAGAAAGACTTCGGTAGCGGATGAGATCTTCGCGTGGGATCGGACCGTGAGCAGGTTGATGGAGATGCAGTCCGCCCAGTACCTCTTGGACGTTATTAAGGACTTGGACGCTGATCAGTTCATCGGCCAGTATTCTCTCAAGTCTCTCACGGACGAGGACATGAATGATCTCTGGAAAAGATACGATTCGGATGAGAATGGTCATTTGGACAAGAGTGAGTTCCGTGTCTTGCTCGAGGACTTGTTGGAAAAACAGAAGGGCCACCGGAATTTGTCCGATGACGTGTTCGATGAGTGCATGAAGGTTGCCGACAAGAACCAAGACGGCGTCATCCAGTTCAGCGAGATCAAAGACTATTTGGGGGAGTTCTCCCAGGTTCAGTCCACCCTGAGAGTGTGATGCTCAGAGTTTCTCGCTGCGCACGCCAATCTATCGTCCTCTCCCCATCCTCTCCTCCTCGCCTTCGGGGTCTGAGGGATTGGGAGAGGACGGGAGAACGAGTGAGGGTGGGATGAGGTGGAGTGATGAGGAGGAGTATTTGAGGGAGATGGTTGAGGAAGATGCAGGGCGATAAGGAGGAGGGGGCGGAGAGGGAGGAAGAGGAGGAGGAGGAGGAAGGAGAAGGAGATCAAAGACTATTTGGGGGAGTTCTCCCAGGTTCAGTCCACCCTGAGAGTGTGATGCTCAGAGTTTCTCGCTGCGCACGCCAATCTATCGTCCTCTCCCCATCCTCTCCTCCTCGCCTTCGGGGTCTGAGGGATTGGGAGAGGACGGGAGAACGAGTGAGGGTGGGATGAGGTGGAGTGATGAGGAGGAGTATTTGAGGGAGATGGTTGAGGAAGATGCAGGGCGATAAGGAGGAGGGGGCGGAGAGGGAGGAAGAGGAGGAGGAGGAGGAGGAAGGAGAAGGAGGATGGAGGACCCTGGTGGACTACACAGCCTTTGAGATGGCTTGTCCCTGTATTCAGGACGGGGGTAACGGTCGCCATTACTGCTGTGTTGCCCCAGGGCCTCGTCTGGGGGGCGGCACTTGACTGTCGGCCGCTACTTAGCCAATATGTTTGAATAGTAGTGTGACACCCCACTGCGGGCTGCGGGTGGATGACTTGCCGAACAGGCAAGCAGATGGGGTGAAGGTTTGTGCTTATGCTGACGTGAAGCAAGAGTGAGCGAGGAAGCCCTGGGGGGCGGGGCAGGACGGGCGAAGGTCGTGTTCAAAGCGCGCTCTGATGTGAGACAGAGGGCGGGGGGACGCCTCCAGGGAGGTAGCCTGGAGCCTCTTGGGGCCTTTTTCGGGCCTCCTGGGGCCTCGAGGAGGCCTAATGGGGGCGTCTTCGGGGTCGTCCCCGACGTCGTCGTCGTCGGCGTTGTCATCATGGGTCGTCCCGGTCGTCGTCCGTCGTCCGTCTTCGTCGTCCACTGGTCGTCGTCATCCTCGTTGTCTTCATCGTCCATTGGCCGTCGTCCGTTGCCGCGTCGTCGTCGTTGTCCATCGTTCGTCGTCCGTCGTCCAGTTTTCGTCGTCCGTCGTCCGTCGTTAGTTGTCGTCGTCGTCGAGTCGGCGTCGTTGTCGTCGTCGTCGTCGTCGTCCTTGCCGTCGTCCTCGTCGGTCGTTCGCGTCGTCGTCCCTCGCAGTCTTCTTCATCTACCAGTCGTCACCGTCGTCGTCATCGTCTTCGTCATCCGTAGTCCGTCGTCGCGTCCCTCGCCGTCGTCGTCCGTCTTCCGCCGTTGCCGTCATTTTCGACGTCGTCGCCGTCGTCGTTGACGCCTTCGTCGGTGGCCGTCGTCGTCGTGTTGTCGTCGTCCCCGTCGTTTTCTTCCTTGCCGTCGTCTTCGTCGTCGTCGTCGGTCGTCCCCGTCGTTTTCGTCGTCATTGTCGTCGTCGTCGTCCATCGTCCGTCGTCCGTCGTCCGTCGCCTCGTCGTCGTCGTCGTGGTCGGTCGTCCCTGTCATCGTCCCTCGCAGTCTTTGTCGTCCACCAGTCGTCGAAATTGCCGTCGTTGTTGTCTTCGTCGTCCGTCGTTCGCGTCGTCGTCGTTGTCCGTCGTACGTTGTCCGTCGTCGTTGCTGTCGTCCGTCGTCGGCTGCCGTCGTCGTCGTCCGGGGTTGGAGGGGGAAAAGGTGAGAGTGGAGTCACCCCTCGTTTCCAGGGGGCGCGGGAGGCTTGGCGGCGGGGGGTCTTTTGCGTTCCGATGTGTCGTGGGATGCTTCCAAGCAGGCGGCAGTGCAGCGTCCTCCTCCCCCTTGCGCTCGCAGACCACTCGCGCTAACAAGAGTGGCGAACCCTGGCGCCGTCTCGAAGGATCCAGGGGGAGGCTCCTGGCAACAGTGGTGCCGCCGTCTTGGTCTGGAGTCCTGGGGGGGACAGGGCTCGCTTCGATTCCTCCGATTCGATTCGATTCGATTTCGATGGATTCCGATTCCGAATCGATTCGACTTGGGATTCCGATTTGGGTTCCGATTTCTCATTGGAGGCTTACTACCCTGCCGATTTCCGACGATTCGACGTTTTCCGACTCGGCTGCCGATTTCCGCCGATCCGATTCATTTCGATCGCCGATTCGACTTGTCGATTCGATTCTGGGCTCTCCTGGGGGGAAGGTGGCGGGGGGGAAGTGATCCAGGGAGGGGCCGAGGTTTTCTTGAAACTTTCACAAACGCAGAGACCTGGTGTTGCAGATTCGGGTCTGGTTGGGTTGGCTTCGCGGGTTGGCACTGCAACAACAAAACATTGGCCCCAGCACTTGCTTCACAACCACAAGGCGTTGACCCGCGCCTATGCACCGCGCAGCAAGGGCGGTGGCTGGTGGCCGATGCTGTGTTTTGTCGGTTGTTGTCGGAAGTCTTGCGCGAACCCATCTCAGTTAAGAGGAGGTGTTCGTGGTGTGTGCCCTAGACCCTAGACGCCCATAGAGGGGATCCTCGGATCGCGCCTTGGCTCAGACGTGTGATTGATGCCACTCGCAGGCCCGCAGAAGGATTTCTAGCCCGCGGAATTGCGTTTCATCTTAATGTCTTGAAATGTCCATGTATGTTGCTTGCGCCCTTGTCATAAGGTTGCGCGGACTGCCAGGGAACTTGCCAAATGAAGAGCTTGCGTATTTGATAGAGAGTTGACAGCCCTGCTTTCCCTTCTCACTTTTAGTACTCAGGATCGAGTCCTGCGCGCATTGTGCGCAATCCTGCGGGATCAGGGATCAGCGCTGTTTATCTGATCTACCTTGTACCAATTGTTTGGACAGTACTCCCGCATCTGCTCAAGACGTTTCTGGCGCTGAAGGTGGCCCCAGAGAACGGCATCGTGGGACCCTTCCGCCCTTGCAGGACATGCGAGCGATCCCACATGTGCGACACCAAAAATCGGGGTCGTCTGCGCCGACATTGGCGCGTAGTCTGCCCGCGTAAGGTCGCGCGTAAGGGCCATCGTTCTCCACGCGTTGTGCCGCGCTGGCGGCCCGCGCGAGCCGCGGCGCAAGGTCGCTAGGTCATCCTGCGCAAGATCCGTGTCTCCTGTCTTCGCCCGCACGACCCAGCCGTGCGACGCAGGCGAGAACGCACGCGGTCGTCAGGGCAGCCGCAGCGGGGCGCCCCGGAGTCCGCTCCCACACCGTCACTGGCAGGATCGCGCCGCGTCGCTGCGGCGTCCGGCGCGGGCGCCCGAGGCCCGTCCAACGAAAGTTGAAAACGTTGTTTAGTGCGCGCCCTGCCAGCCACGCATACGGTCCAAAATTGAGATCTTGCGTGACCCTTGATCGAGGGCAGTGACAATTTTCAGAATGGGATGGAAGTAATCAAGCCATCTATCTTCGTCCCCTCCCTTAGGGACGGGGGGGATAACCGATGGCACCGCAGCAGGCCTGTGTGTGCACCGCCGCCTCGGCCCGCTGGGGCGCTGGTGCTGCAGCACCACGGTTCCCAGCGTCCCCCTTGGCGCAGAGGCCGCCCAGGGGCCTTCCCCGCGACGCGCTCGCCGAGAGCGTGCCGGGGATGCCCCGATCGTCCCGAAGAGCCATTGGAGCGACGCAAGAACAAGGGGGAGGAGGAGGAGGAGGAGGAGGAGGAGGAGGAGGAGGAGGAGGAGGAGGAGGAGGAAGAGGTGCGCAAGCTGCCCGCGTGAGGTCGCGCGTTTGCGCGCCCTCGTGTCCACTTGGGGCGTGCCGCACTGGCGGCCCGCGTGAGCTGCGGCGTGCCGCACGGGGCTCCCCCGAGGGCGCGAAGTTATTCGCGCTTCGCGCTTCGCGGTCCTCGTTTCTCCTCCCCCTCCTCCTCGTCCTCCTTTTCTCCCTTTGGGGGGGCGGCGCGAGAGCGCGAAGTTATTCGCGCTTCGCGCTTCGCGGAGCGCGAGAGCGCGAAGTTGGGAGCCCTAGGTAAGGTCGCCGTGTCATCTCGCGTACGACCCCTTTTTGTTCGTCGCCCACCTGAGAGCAGAGACGTGGCCTGAGAAACCTGCAGGGGTCGGGCCTCTCCTCTCCCCTGTTCCGCGTCGTCGTCTTCGTCTGCCACTTCCTCCTCTGCTTCTCTTTTTTTCGTATCCCTCTTTCGGAAGCAAATCACGGGAGCCTGGCCTGGTATACCCTTTTTTCCAGTCTTTAGCGTCGATTAGCCTCGATTAGCGTTTGGGAGTCGAGAAGGTAGCGCCAATTTAGCGTCGATTAGCGTCGGTTTAGCTTCGACTAGCGTCGATTAGCGTCGATTTAGCGTCGTCTAGCGTCGATTCGAGAGAGCCAACAAGCTAGTGTGGGAGGCTCCCTTGATTTGCCGACTTCCTGAATCTGCTCCTTCTCGCCTTGGCTGTCTCTCTAAATGGCCAGGGCGTTCTTCTGCCCGGTTTTAGCTTTCATGATTTAAGCTAGTGTTCGGCTCCATGTGCGGTTTCCGTGTTTTGAAAGCTCACAGCCATTATGTTTGGTGTACATTGCAGTTTTCCGCTAAGTTTCTTTTGTTTCTGGCTTTCCGCGTGACCTTTCACCCGCCCGTACCTTTTTCTTTCCCTTGCCATTGTGTTTCCAGCACGTACTCAGTTGTCTCGGGATTTTACAGGTATTGTTCTTTCCAGAGTTGAGATTTCCAGTTGCCGTTTGTTGTTTCCGCTCCCAGGTCTTGAGGTTAGTTATCCTTGCCCGATATACGCGCTATTTTCCCAAACAGTGCTTGCACTGAAGGGGTCCTAGCGGATATTGTAAGTTTTGGTGAAAGTGCCCGGCCGATTTCGGTAGGCGGCCGGGTTCCCAGGTTTTTGGTTCCGCGTTCCCCGGCTCCGGTTGCTGTTTCTGGGCCGATTCCGGTGGGCGGCGGGCTGCCCGGGTGTCCGGGTTCTTGGTCGATCTCTTTATCGATTGGTCTCACTCACTACCAATATACCTCTCTGTCGATCTCGCGATCGATCTCACAATCGATCGAACTATCGATCTCACAATCGATCGCACTACAGATCGCGTGAGTGATCTCACGATCGATATTTTTCAATCTCATTGGTTCGTCTTCACTATCGATCTCACGATCGACCATATTATCGTCCTCACGATCGATCATGATGCAATCGATCTCATTACCCATTCGCAATACATAATCACTAATTTTCAGAACATCCACTGGTTGGGCTTTTGTCTCTTGTGCAACTTATGTGTGTCCTTTGTTACACGAACGAGAATTGAACACTACCAAGCGCCGCGGTCGTTTTGAAAGACAAGTAGGTTCGTCGTCCGAAGCCTTCGCGTGCCCAAGGGAACCATTCCAACTGTATAACTCGATCCATCCTTCCAGACTCCTGATAGCTCGCCTATCACTCCTCCTCCTCCTCCTCCTCCTCCTCCTCCTCCTCCTCCTCCCTCGTGCCTGTATCATTAAGGTCGCCGTCTCATGATCCTTACTGTTCCACCTGCCCCCTATCCTTTTTATATTCCTCGACGTCTTCATCCTTACAGATACCCAGCACCGCTCGATTATTCCATCGTTCCTTCGAACAGTCAGATGGCCTTATCTAACCATCCTCGTCTCGCTTTGCTCTCATCGCTTCCGCTATGCAGTCCTTCCCCCTTCTCCGAGCCCCCATCCCCTAGCCCCACCTCCATCCCCCTTCTGCCAACCTCTATCCTCCTCCGCTTCTCTCTACCCATCTCTCCTCGCCCCCTCTCCTCTCTCCTCGCCCTCTTCTCCTCCCCGCTCCCGCCTACTGCCCCCGAGGACGACAACGCCGACGGCGACGGCGACCACGGCGGCAGCGACGCCAACGGCGGCGACCATAGTGGAGACGACCACGACGACGGCGCTGCCCCGTTGCAACCCCCGCCAGCGCTGGCAGGAGAGAGAGATCGGGCGCCCGGGCTGGATCCGTGTCGTGGACGTCGTCTGCCAGCCAGGCTTCTCGTACGAGGTGACCATCGCGGGGCGCAACCTGGCAGGCCGCGGGCGAGGGGGAGGAGGGCAGAGCCTGCGGGTGAGGCGAGGACCGGAAGGGGCACCTCGGGCAACAGACAGACAACAGGCCAGCATGGACGCTGCGCGGGATGAGGCCCAACACCCCTAAAACAGGGCTGGGATCGGGATAGATCGCTCCAGAGCGCTCCGGAGCGCTCTCAGAGCGTTCTGGAACGCTCTGGGGCGGCCGCGGCGCCCAAGACCTCCTCCAAACCCGCCGCTTCTCAGAGATTTCGAGTTGTCCCGAGCCGATTTGGTCCCGATCTTCGCGTCGTTTGAACCCCACAAGATCATGGAGGGGCGGTGCCCGCAGGCCTGCCCGCGCCGCCCCCCCGTCCCATCCCACGCGCGGCGCAGGCCCAGCGCAGGAGCGGGCTCCGGCTCCGGGGCCGCCCCGTGCTCGGAAGGGGGTGGCGACGACGAGGGGGGGGGGAAGAGAGAATTGGGAGGAGGGGGAGGGATGATGCTGGAATGGTCGGGGGGGGGAGGGATAGGAGGGGGGCTTCAAGATGACGGTGTCAGAGAGGGAGGGAGAGAGAAAGAGAGAGAGAGAGAGAGAGAGAACGAGCGGGAGAGAGATGCAGAGGCATTGACACGGAAGGGTGGAGAGAGACACATGCAGCACAAGTGTATGTAGGTGGAAGGAGAGGGATGTGTGCGCACGTGGGGGACACAAGGACCGGGATTACGACTATGATGTGCTCGAGAACCTCTTGGGCGCATTTCACGGAAAAACGTTGTTTCTTTTGATCTAGCATCACTTGCTTGGACCCCAAGCAGTGAGGTAGTTCGTCGTGTAGGTGAGCCATGCGGTGTAAGCTATGCGCATTGAGCTATGGAGGTGGAATCCGCGCAGTGTTTCCTGCGTGGTGTACGCTATGCTGTGTAAAATGTGTGGTGTGAGCTGGAGGCGAAAGCGATGCGGTGTAAGCCATATGGCAATACATATGTAGCCCAAGCCACGAGCGCCCACGAGGCGGCTCGGGCGGCAACGCGGCGCAACCTGGGCGGACCCACCTAGCGCACGGGACACCCACGAGGCGGCACAGGCGATGTCGTCGCGTCGTGGAGCGATGTTTGGGCGAATCGGGACCCCCTTCGACCATTTGGGAGGCCTTCTGGGACCCTGCTGGCTGGTTTTTGGCGCCCCCACACCCTTGGAAAAGTCACGCTATAACGCGACACGCTGACGGAACGCCCGGGAGCTCCCGGTGGCGCCGAGCACTCAAGGCTGCGGGCTCCTGGAAGAGTTGCAGGAGACTCAAATGGACCTGAGGACACTTCACGCAGTTCCTCGCGGCGGCGAGAATATCAATAGCGTTTTTGTGATATCTCTCTCTCGTTTTCTGTCCTCTCTCTCTTTCTCTTGTCGTGCTTGGCTTGTTACTATGTGAATATCTCTCTCTCTCTCTCTTTTTCCCCATGTACCAGTGTGATTGCAGCGGAGGTGAGGGGGTGAGATCGAAGTGGAACGGAGAGCCCCTCTACCGGGAGATCGGTTTCGGTTTCGTGTTCGTGCGTGCCGTGCGTGCGGGCGAGGCGAAGCTGCAAGGGCGGGCGAGAAGAAAGTCCCTTCCGGCTGAGGCGCGGCCGGACAAAATGATTCCTCTCCGGGGGCCGGTGCCGCGCGGTGTCCCGCCGGTGTCCCGCCTCCGGCTGAGGCGCGGCCGGACCGAAAGTTTCCTTTCCAGGGGCCGGTGCCGCGCGACACCCGCCGGTCTCCCGCCAGTGTCCCGTCGGTGTCCCGATGATGATGATGATGATGATGATGATGATGATGATGATGATGATGATGATGATGATGATGATGATGATGATGATGTCGATGATGGCGGTGATCATGATGGTGATGGTGGTGATGATGATGGTGTCCCGATGATGACTATGATGCTGACGATGTTGGTGATGATGATGGTGATGGTGGTGATGATGATGGTGTCCCGATGATGATGTTGATGATGATGTTGCTGATCATGATGATGGTGCCCCGATGATGATGATGATGTAGCGAATCATGGTGATCCTGATGATGAGATGATGATTATGACGAAGATGATGATGATGATGATGATGATGATGATGATGATGATGATGATGATGATGATGGTGATGATGATGATGATGATGATGATGATGGTGTCCCGGTGATGATGATGATGAGGTTGATGATGATGATGCTGTTGGTGATGGTGGTGATGATGATGATGGTGTCCCGGTGATGATGAGGTTGATGATGATGACGATGGTGGTGTCCCGATGATGATGATGTTGATGATGAGGATGATGATGCGGTGATGATGATGCTTTTGGTGATGGTGCCTCGATGATGGTGATGATGATGATGCTGATGTTGATGATTATGATGGTGTCCCGGTGATGATGGTGATGATGCTGACGATGATGATGATGTTGTTGATGATGCTGTTGATGATGATGCTGTTGCTGATGATGATGCTGTTGATGATGCTGTTGATGATGATGCTGTTGATGATGCTGTTGCTGATGATGATGTCCCGGTGATGATGCTGTTGATGATGCTGTTGATGATGATGCTGTTGATGATGCTGTTGCTGATGATGATGTCCCGGTGATGATGCTGTTGATGATGATGTTGATGATGGTGTCCCGATGATGATGTTGCTGATATTGATGATGTTGTTCGTGATGGTGATTTGATGATGATGGTGGTGTTCCGATGATGATGGTGTCCCGATGTTGATGATGATGATGACGATGATGATGTTCCGATGCTGATGATGGTGATGCTGATGATGGTGATGTTGTGATGATGATGATGATAATGATGATGATGATGATGATGATGATGATGATGATGATGATGATGATGATGATGATGATGATGGTTATCCCGTCGATGATGATGCTGATGCTGTTGGTGACGTTGATGACGGTGCTGTTGATGATGATGATGATGATGATGATGACGTTGATTGTGAGATCGATTGTGATATCGATAGTGAGAGCGATCGTGAGGCCAAATGTGAGATCGATAGTCAGATCGATTGTGAGATCGATCGAATGAAATAGATCTAGTGAGATCGATTGTGGGATCGAGCGAGTGAGATCGATCGAGCGAGGCCGATCGTGAGACCGATCGCGAGATCGATAGTGGGACCGATCGAGTGAGACGTTGCCCCCCCCCCGAACCTCCTTATCACCCGAAGGGTGGTCGTATAGGTATAGTTATCTTGTCCACTCCCTCTCTTTCTCTCCCTCCCTCTTTCTCTCTCTATCTCTCTGTCTCGCTCTCTCTAGTTTGTTGTGTGTGTCTCTCTCTCTCTCTCTCTCTCTCCCTCGCCCCACGTGCATAAACACATACATACGCATATACATGCACATGTATATAGAACCACGCATAAATATGAGAGCCCATCAGCAAGTACAGATTTATTTCTTTTCGTTGACTGTATTATTATCTCAGATTCCTGTCTGGTTGTTCCCACTCCCTCCTTATCATATTTCGCTTGGGATGCGTCCTCCTCATCATCCTCTGTCTGTAGCTTCTCTTCATCCTCCCTGCTGCTGCAGACCTTCCTGCCGTTTCTGCTGCGTTTGCTCCCCCCCCTCCCCCTTTCCTGGCGCTCGCCTTCTCATGATCATCCCCTTCATCCTCTTCGTCCACTTCCGATGTTGCAGAGAGCCAGAGAGAGAGAGAGAGAGAGAGAGGGACAGACTCGAGTGGGCATCGGTCCCTTGGATTTTACAAGGTGTTGCGAAGCAAGGGGGCGCAAAATCATGTGATGTCACTGGGATGAGTGTGATTCCTGATGTGAGAATCCCCGAGACCTTGTGACGTCATTGCTTCTTCTCGTTGATGTGAGTTTACACACTCCAGCGAGAATCCACGCTGTAGCCTTCCAGGGCTCTGGGCCCACGAGGGCCCAAACATCCCAAACATCCAAATGAAAACGCCAGGGTTTGTTCGAGTCTGAGACGAGGATGCTGGAAACAAGTCGAACGGTTTTCAGTCCATCCCGCCACCGTGCCTGGGTCGTGGTTATGAGGCCTCTTGAATATTCTCAGGGGCTGTATGTATTGGGGCTTCTTTGCTGTTCGGTTTTGCTGGGACCAGCCGGTAGCTTAGTGCGGTTACGGAAACCAGCGGGTGGTTCGGGTTGAGTGACGATGTTTCCGAGTTTCAGTCAGAGCGAGTTTAAACGACAACATATTGAATCGCGTTCCGCCCGTAGTCCATCGTTGCTCAAAAGAGGCGAAGATGGTAGAGGAGCTGGACTATCACCAGTTCCGAGTTCCGCACCCAGCAGATCCTGCCAGGGCGCGCGCGATGCCCCGACTGGCGGCTGGCGGGAGAGATCACGACGTTCACCGAGAGTTTCGAGCTCGTCGGAGGGCACTGCGTGGGAGGCGCTAGCCACGAAAGTGATACGCTTCACGGAGCTGAAGGGGTACTGGCACGGGTTCGGACGGTACCTCATCTACGTGAAGCGCCGACGGCGCGAGCAGAAGCGTGCGATCATATATGGCGCTGCATCAAGGCACGTTCAGCGAGATACAAAACGCGGTTCGGCAAGCTCAGGCGGCCACTGGATAGCTGCATCGACAGAACGCAGAGCTGCGCCAGCAGGCGCAACATTATCAACAGGCAGGCGGACCTGAGATCATCAGCAGGCTCGGCGAAGTGGTCGAGCGACTGAACGTTACCGATAGGGCCTCGCAACGAGTGCCGCAGCTGATCCAAGCGAAGGACACCAGGAAGCCGCCGACGTTCAAGAACGAGGGGGCTCACTTCAGCGAGTTGTTGCAGAGGCTCAATAGCTACGTGCTCAGCGTCTTCGGGGCGAGCTTCAAAGCGGTGATCGAGTGGGCGGTCGACCAGGCGAACGACTCGATGGCGCTCGCGACGGCGGCCGCGGTGGCGCAGTTCATCAACGACGCGACCGACGGTGAAGAAGTCGAGTCGGTGGACGAGAAGATCCCCAAACTCCATGCGTTGTTCATCTCGCTCGCAGAGGGCGAGCCCTCCGAGCTGGTGGCAAGCGCGGGCCAGGGTAGCGGCGCAGAGACTCCGCGGTTTCTGGTTCTCCGGCGGGGCCCGGAGTGCCGCTGAAGAAGATCACGGCGCCCAACCGAGCGACGGAGCTAAAGAACCTGGCCGGCGAGATTGCGAAGTGGGGGGAGCTCATCAGGGGCTGCGAGGGACGGCGAGCCGACGGTCGAGACATTCGACTGGACGGCGAGATCAAGATGAACGCGCTTGAGAGCTAGGTTCCGCACGACGTCGAGTTGCACCTGGCCCTCAACCGCGCCCAGCTGAGCGATTACACGTCCACGAGAGAGGACGCGCGCAGGTTCCTGGAGACACGGCAGGCACAAGGAGCACTTGGACGAGCTCGGGGAGATCCGATGGAGGCGGGCGCGTTCGTCGAAGGATGCCCGCGGGGCAAGGGCGGCAAAGGAATGGGCAGAGACCACAAAGGAAAAGGATCGGCGCCCAAAGGAAGGGCGGCGAGCGGCCCGAATGCGACCGGCTGGAACTGCAGACGAAAAGGACGCCAAGCTTCAGAGTGCTGGAGACCAAGAGAGATGGGCCAACCGAAGGAAAATTGCGACGCCAAGAAGGGCACGAGTGGCAACTACCACCAACCTGGTGGAGGAGGAGTTCGCAGGGGCCGACAACGTCGAGGAGACGAACAGCACGGTCAGCACGCAGCCACCAGCGTCGGCGTTGCAAACGGGACAGACCCCCAGCTTGAGCTTCGACGCGTTCGAGAGAATCGCGGAGCTGAACAGCGTGGTTACGTGCGCAAAGTCAGAGCCTGAATTTAGTCATCAACCTCGCCCTTCTCTTGGCGTGATCAACCGGAGAACTACCTCTCTCTCCGCTTCTGCTCCTCGGTGCGCCGCTCGCGCTCCCCTCCGGCTCTTATCCTTCGCCCCCCTTCTCTATCCTTAGCCGCTCCCTGCTCCAATTGTCCGTCATTCGCTTGGCTCCGGAGGTGGCCCTCGAGGCTTTGGCATCGGACTTCCCCTCCTCTCTTCTTCGCCCCCCCCCCTGCGCGACTGTCCAGACCGTTACGCCTCCCGCTAAAAATTCGCGAGAGCCCGGGCCCCCCGCGACGAATTCGCGAGAGTCCCGCGAAAGATTTGCGGGAACCCTTCGCGCCGTGCACTGTCCTCCCAGGCGCCCCCCCGGGCTACCTCGCCCCCGTGGGACCCCCTTGGGCGATGCGCGAGGGCTGTTCCCGCGCGAGACCACCCCGGGCGACTCGTGCAGGCACTGAGTGGCGGAGACCCCCCCCGAGCGATTCCACCGCTCGGACCGACCCCCGCCAGGGCGAGTCGGCCCGTCCTGGAACACCCCCCCAGGCGATCCAGGACCCCCCGCGCCCTCCCATGCGAGCGGGGGCGCCTGCGGGAAAAGCCCACGCCTAAGCTCCCCCTTTTAAGGGAACCTTGGCGGGGGCGATCCGCGCCGGGGCGGCAGTCGAACCCTCCTGGGCGATCGACCGCGGCAGATTCCTCCCGCACCAAAAAAACACAAAAAAAAAAAAAAAAACACAAACCAACACACAAAAAACACAAAAAAACACACAAAAAAAAAAAACACCGGACGGAACATAAAAAAAAACACGAAAAGAAACAAAAGCCACACAGACACACACAAAAATGACTAAATTATGGCTCTGACTTTGCACACCTAAGCGTGGAGGTGATGCCCGACGACAAGCGCTACATGGGCGCTACGTGGCGCGCGTCGCGATGACGTTGAACACTGGCGTTGCAGCGACCGCCTTCCTGGTCAACCAGGAGGGCGAGTATGCCGAGTCCGATGGGACTTCCTACCGCGCGGCCACCGGCGAGATCTTGGAGGGCAAAGGCGGCGCTGGCATCACGGGCATGTCCGAGCACGGCGAGCAGATGAACCTGAAGGGCAGGCGCGCGAACATCCGTCAGCCGCTCATGTCGGCGTCGGCCACTGCGTCGAAGGGCTACTTCACCTGGACCGGGGCCTTCGGCGGCAACATCCTGAAGGACGGCGAATTCGCCGAGCAGGTTCACCAGGTGATCGACAGCTTCGTGGCCGAGGAGAACACCGGCATCGCGCTGCTGCGCTTTCAGGACATCGTCTACAAGATGGACGCGCTGGGGGATGCACAAGGAGCGTCCTCTTCCACTGGAGCGGCCTTCTTGGAAATCGGTCCTTGGGCCCCAGCGGTGGCCGACCCTCAGTGGCAGGCAACGGTTCCGCGGGGTCCGCGAGCGCCCCGCAGCCGGCGGGGGCGCAGGCGTCGGGGCCCACCGTGAGACCACCAACACCAGCGGCTGGGAATCGAGATCCTGCTTCCCGCGAAGCTGAAGAACGCGAAGGGGTCGAGAAGGACATCGGCTGCGACGGCACGCCAGAGGAGGTCGCGCCAGCGCGCGTCTCCGCGAGGAAGAGGCAACCCACCGAGGCGGAGGTCGAGCAGCGCGAGGCCACGGGAGATTTTGCGCATCGGGATCGGTGCGAGGCCCCCATCGCTGCCAGAGGCCTTGGACAAATACATGAGGTGCATGGGGGCTAACGTGATGGGGCGGGCCCAGCGGTGGCCATGGACTTCGCGCCCCTGGGCGCGAAGACTGGCGACGAGGAGGGCCAGGAATATGATTTCCCGATGCTGGTCGCAAGGGGCCCCGTGACGAATCCCCCATGCTCGCCGGCAATCCCGGCTAGAAGGGGGCCATCTTCGTGGTCAAGATTCTGATGAGCTCCATCATGCACTCGGGCTATCGCAGGCTGATCTTCTAGAGCGATGGGGAGGCAGCGATCGCGGCCCTCAAGACAGCGGTCGCAGTAGCAGCACCCGCCGCGGAGTTCTTGCCCAGAGAGTCGCCACCAGGAGAACGCCAAAGCAATGGGGGAGACGAAGTTACAGTTCGAGAGGTGAAGAGGCAAGTAAGGGCCAACGGGTTCGCTTTGGAGGCGAAGCTTGGCAAGAAGGTGGACGACTCGCACCCTGTCCTCAAGTGGCCCACGCAGTGCGCGGTGGCCTGCCTTGCTCGACGTCGCCGAGGAGCTGACGGACTCGCTGCCAAACGACGGCGGTCTGGCCGCGACTGGAAGAAGGCGGGGGCGGAGTTCGGCGAGCGCGCGACGCGCGGGCCGCTCGCCCCATCGGGAAGAAGAGTACCATGGAGGAGCGCATGAAGTCTGGGAACGTCTTGGGCTACCGCGCGCGGACAGGCGCCCTACTTATCATGGCGGTTGACGGGGTAGAGAAGGCGCAGGGCTTAAAGCGGCTGCCGAAGGAGCAGGCTTGGGACGGCAGGGGCTGGGACGCTCTTCAAGGAGCACCCTGGGCCACGCTGCCCGACGAGGAGGCAGGCGCCATCCCCAGGGCGCCGGTCGCGGCTACTACGAGGATGGGGCCGCGAGCACCGAGAGCGAGGCGCGCGCTGCGCCGCGACGTTGAAGCGCGGGGCGACGGCGGGCTGCCCAGGTTGTCAGGAGTTGACGCAGAAGGGCAAGACTACGAGGGCACGCGACGAGGAGTGCCGCGAGAGGATCGCAGAGATGATCATGGCGGACCCGGAGGACAGGGTTCGACTGAGCGAGCACCATTTCCGAGCCGAGGATGCTGACGTACCTGGGCCGCTTGCTCGACGAGCTGCCGCCGATGGAGATCGAGCAGAGCAGCCGCCACCACCTGCAGGAGGCGAAGCAAAAGGAGCTCCCGCCATGAAGCTGAGGAGCGCCGCAGTGGCGGCAGCGCCGGCTGGAGGTAGTGGAAGCACCGCGTGCGCGATCAGGAAGCGCCGAGCAGCTCTACCTGAGCCAGAACGAGTCACGCGAGTACGAGGGCCACCACCTACGAGGCCAGTGCGTGAAGATGCGGAAGAGAGACTGGCGCTCAAGCTAGCCAGGCTAAAGAGAGAGGCAACGAGCGAGCAGGCCCAGATGAACGTTGAGGAGTTGGTGGGCACGCCTGTGTCATCAACAGCCGCATCAGGGTCAGCACCAGCATCGTCGTCTGCGTCGGCAGCAGCGTCGAGTTCGAGCCCGAAAGCAGCGCAGAGCCCCGCGATGGACATAGACCGGCTGGAGGCACTGAATGGCGCCCACAAGGGCGGCACGTTCGTAGCAGTCTACGAGATGGCCATCATCGATCTCAGGGAGTTCGCCCGCGCCGGCAGCAGCGAGGTGGACATGGAGCAGGCGGAGGAGGTCGCGCCCTTACTCACGGAGGTATGCGCGGTCGACATTGCGGAGATCTACTCACCGAAGAGGTTCGTTGAGATGACGTTCAGGTTTGGCCTCGCATCCGGCCTGGCGGTGGACATCGAGACAGGCTGGGATCTACGACTTACCAGCGCAGCGCAAAACGTGCACGGAGCAGCCGAAGGAGGAAGACCCGCTGCTTACGATAGCCAGCCCATCATGCACATCATTTACCAACCGGCGGAAGTCCTCGGACGCTAAACGCGATCCGAAGGTCGCAGAGGCGGAGATCTTGGAAGGCGAGATGCACTTCGACTTCAGCATGCAGATCTGCAGGGAGCGCCACAAGGCAAGGAAGACGTTTCTTCGCGCGGCGCCGTGGTCAGCGAGCAGCTGGTGCCGACCGAGCGTCCAGGAGGTTATCGAGATGGCGAACGCTCGCTTAGTCCATGGGCCGATGCGCCGCTGGCGCATGCAGGCGATTGGTCCTGAGGGCAAGTCGGGCTTCGTTCGGGAGGGGAACGGGTGGCTCGCTAACGGCGGGCTGTTTTTGCACGCCCTCGAGGGCTACTGCGAACGTTCGAGGGGTCCGAATGGGGAACTACCGCGCCGTGTTCACTTGGCCGATTGACGAGGTAGACATGCGCAACGTTTCCCTCCTAGCTTGGTCGCGGCCACCCCCAAAGGCTTGCGCGGAGAACTACGACGACGTGAAGGACTCACTACACTTGCCGCCCTTTGCGGAGGACCCCATCCCCATGAGGAAGATACAAGGGCGTTCGCCGAATGCCAGAGCGACTTCTGCATCGAGGTCACTGACGGGCGACGTCCTCGATTCCGAGGGCGTCCAGTCTGCGGGGCACGAGGGGCTGGCGTGGCGTCGCGGGAGCTTGGTGAAGGGTACCCGCGAGCAACATGCTCAAGAAGGGCAACAAAGCGGTCGCCCGCAAGTGGGTCGACACGAACAAAGGCGACAAGCAATAACCGCGATGGCGATCAAGGCCGGCGGCGAGGGAGATCAAGAAGGTCATGGGAGCAGAGGACAGACCTGACCAGCACGAACGATTCTCAGCCATGCCGCCGTTGGAGGCGTTCAAGGCGATGATCACGATTTTCGTGGGCCGCGTTAACAACGACGACCACCAGCGCAACCAGGACGAGACCACCTACAAGTTCTACGACATTCCGAGAGCCCACTTTTACGGCGATGTGGCGCGCGAGGTCTGCGTGGAGCTGCCGGAAGAGGAGACTTTCGACGACCGCGAGCCGATGGTGGGCAAGTTGATGAAGACGGTGCACGGCGCAGTTGATGCAAGTCATGCGTGGCAGGGCGACTACATAGACTTGACGAGCTCACGCGGGTTCAAGGAGGGCATCTCGAATCCAGCGATCTCCTATCATGCCGAACGTCATATGCAAGCAGAGGTCCACGCCGACGATGTCGGCGCTACCATGAAGAAGTCCCAGGAGGGTTAGTCCGACGATGTCCTGTCGCTCTACGATTTCAATGTCACGGGAGTGTTGAGCAACAAGGCGACAAGCGAGCAGAGCGTGGTCTACCTCAATAGGGTCTTGATCTGGGATCCACTGCAGCGGTCAGCCCACCTTGACGCTGACGCGCGTCATGTGCAGAACGTGATCAGGGACCTGGGTCTGGAGAAGCGAAGGAGGTCACCGCGCCGGCGGTGAAGCGGTCGGCTTCGGACGTGCTAGACGCCGACCGCATTCGCAGAAGCTCGACGACGTCGGGGTCAAGACCTACCGCAGCGCGGCCATGAGGATCATGTGCCCGAGCATGGACAGGCCAGACATCAGCTACGCCGCAAGTGCGCAGGCCAGACACATGAAGGAGCCGAAGGAGAACAACGTGGAGGACCTGAAGAGCATTGGTCGCTACCTGAAGGAGTGCCCGGCAGGGCGTTTGCTGTTCCCAGCGCTGGGACTACCAGACAAAATTAGCGCGCGCTGCGACAGCGACTGCGCCAAGGACCCGATCGCGAGAAGGTCGAGAACAGGGATGGCCACATTATAGGGGTCGCCTGCGTGGAGCCTGTCATTGTCTTGGAGTGCAAGCGACGCTGGAGGACTTCGGCGTGGGCGCGGACGACGAGACAGAGCTGCTTGTCTTCAGTGGCAGCTCTGCGGCCAGAGGCATCTCGAGTAGAGAGGGGCCGGGGGCCGTTCGACACAGCGATGCCCGTTTTCTCCAGTTGCAGGAACGATTTCAAAGTCAGACGGTGTCGTTGTTCACGGTCGAGGGCCACGGGAATCCTGCGGACTTGTTCCCGGAAGCCCTCGACCAGGAAACGGTGGAACGGCTGCTGAAGAGAATCAACTTCACGATTAAGGCCGACGGCGTCGTGAGACACCGCGGCTTGTGATGGCGCTGGCCGTTTGCTAGTGCTTCCGTCGTGAAAAGATTTGCGCTGGCCCTATAGGCTTTCGCCCTCCGCCTCCGCCCACTCGCGGCGCCGAGGTCCGAGGAGGGGTGTTCGGATTTCCTGGGGCCAGCCGGTAGTTTCGTGCTGTTCCGGAAACCAACGGAGGTTTTGGGTTGAGTGTTAATGGTTCCGAGCTTCAGTTAGAGCGAGTTTAGACGAGATCAGGTTGAATCGTGCTCCGCCCGCAGTCCACCGCTGCTCAAAAAAAAGCGAAGATGTGGGTCTCTCTCGGGCCTCTTGAGGCCTCTTCCGGGCGTCGTGGGGGCCTCTTGGGGCCTGGGCGCCTCTTGGGGCGGAAGGTTTGAATTTTCGGTGCGTGCCCCTCTTGGGGCCGTTCTGGGGTCTTTTTGGTTGGGCTGTCTTGGGCGCGTCTTCGGGTCTTCATGGGCTGTCTTGGGGCCCTATTGGGGACTTTTGTGGCCGCTTTGGGGCGATCTTGGGGGCCCCTTGGGACGTCTTGGAAAGCCGGGGACTAGGAGAGTGGATAACCAAATCGCACTCAACACATCCAGGAGCATCCATGATTTTAGCATTTCGGGGCCCTCTTGGGAAGGTTTTTGGGCCTTTCTTGAGGAGACACGAAGGCTTCTCGCGCCGTCTTGGCGCCATCTTGGGCGTCGTGAGAAGCTCTTTGGCCGTTTCGGATGCCCCTTGGACCCTGCTGGGAGTTTCTCGGAACTGTCTTTGCCCGTGTCTTCGACGGGGCCACCGTCCCGGAGGCCCACGCAAAACACTCCAGTAGCGCTTGGTCACGCCCGGGAGAGCGACCAGGAAACTGGGGGTCCGAGTGCGCACCATAAATCCCAAACGTCCCTGCGAAATCACACGCGTTGTGAAGATCAGGGGCACCAAACCTTGCGATTTGGGTCGGATTTGTTTTGGTTCCTGGCTTGGGAATCCTCGTGTTTTATTATTTGTGTTTCAATGTGTGGGGGATCGTACGCCCTCCAGCGTCATTCCACGCTATAGCATTCCAGGGCGCCCTGACTTCCAGAAGCCCCCCAAATCCCAAATCCGAATGCCAACACATAAGCCAAAGTTTTGGGGCCTCTTGGGGGTTTCTTGGGGCCCGGTCTGGGCCTCTCGTGGCCTCTTGGGGGCCTCTTGGGGCTTCTCTGGCGCACCCCGACACCATGTCGGACATGCATGTCCCGAACAATACGCTCTTGGCCTTTCGACAGCGCGCGGGAGCGTGCGAGAGCGCCCGGAAGTCTGGGCTGGGCGCCCCTTGCACAATGGTTTGAGAATTCAGCAACGAGAGCCCGAAGGGAACTTGAGGACATTCCGACTCGTGCTTCAGGGCAGGGTGGCGGAGCTTATGTGTATGCAGATGTAGGCTCATCTAGTATGTGTACACATACGAATGCCTATAATGTGGATTCCCTGTATCGTGCTCTCTCTCTCTCTCTCTCGTTATCCTCCCTCCTGCGCCGCACCTGATCCGCCCCCTCTCTGCCCCATCCACTTGTGATTGCTGCATTTGTGTGCGCACTTCTTTATGTGTGCTTATGTTGTGTTTACTGTAACTTCCCATGGTAATTTGTGGTGCAAACGCGCCACCTCTGTCATCACACACGCACTCTTTTGGTACATATTGTGTAACACTACTGCAGAACGCGTAGTGCGGCATCGAGCGTCACATGTGTAGCAATATGTGCGCATGGCTGGCTGCAGGATCCTATCACATTATATGCAAGTACGTTTGCGCTGCTCGCGGGAAATGTCGAACGAGCCCAGGCTTCCATACGTCTGAGCGCCAGAGGAGAAGATGGAGAAGATGAGGGGGGAGGCAGCGTTTTGGAGAGAATGGAGGGGGACGCAGAGGCAGAACACCATGAGCAGCGGAGACAGCGGTGAGAGCGAAGTCCACAAGGTTGGTCCAACCTCAGCGAGCCACTCATCGTGAGCTGCTTCTTCGTGCCTGGCGCGGTGGAGGATCTGCACCTCAAGCCCGGCAGCACCTCGCAGCCTGTGGGCATCAATGACGCGGAGGGGAAGAGGAGAGAAGGAAAGCAAGAGGCGGAATAGGAGAAGGAGATTCTGGCAGTTGTGGAAGGATTCTAGACCAGGTTATGAGGAGGGAGGGGGAGCAGGAGAGGAGATAGGGAGAGTCGCCGAGGTTTTCAGTCGGCCTTTTCTGACTTCCAGGCCTGTTAGCGACACCAGCAACACCAGCAGGGTCATCCCCATCGAGGTGATCCTTGATGCCTCTCCGAGATTGGAGATTGGAGATGTATCGGGCAACAGACGTCGAAACCTATAGCCATCCTGATCCGATCCTCCTGCTCCACCTCGTCCTTCTTTCCCCCCCCTCCCCCCGCACTTGCGATAAGGTGATTAGGTCAATACTTGGGCGCTGGACCCACCGACCCCTTCCAGGGGACCAGTCGTTCGACCCAGTTCGTGGTTTGAGGGCCCTTCGGTGCCCGAAAGCGCCGCCCAGAGGCAGAACAGCGTGTTACGTTTAATTGAGCGAGCAAATATGAATGATGATCTGAGTGAGCCTTGATTTCCTCAGCAGAAGGTTGCTTTCCAGGCTGCCTAGATGGGGCTGGAGCGGGCAGGGGCCGCGCATCGGAGCAAGGGGCATGTCGGGTACCTGGGCCTTCTCCATCCCGTCGTCGCAGATGCATCGGCGATGCGCCGCGTTCCTGACCCCAGCCTGCTCCAGTCCCATCTGAGGCACGCATCAGAACCGGGTCGTCTTCGCCGACACTGGCGCGGAAGCTGCCCGCGCATGCTCGCGCGCAGGCGTCCTCGTCTCCGGTACAGCGTGCTGCGCTGGCGGCTCGCGTCAGCCGCGGCGTATGGTCGCCATGCCATCGCCCGTTGCTGATGGCCGCTCATCTGGGCGGCCTGCACGCGGGCGGCGGCGGCTCCAGCCGGACGCAGCACTCGCCGGGGCGCCGTCGGCGGAGGGCGGGGGCAGGCGCTGGAGCAGTCCGCCACCATCGAGTGGGCGCCCCCCGCCAACCTGGACGGCGCCGTGACCTACAACGTGCAGCGCGCCCAGCTTGCCGGCCCGGGCCCGGCGGGGGCGGGCCGTGGCCAGAGGTTCCAGAGGAGGGAGGCGGCGGCGAGCGAGGGGGGGGGCGAGGCGAGGCGAGGCCCGCGCCGATGCCGCTCCGTGCGCGCGCCCGGAGCGCCTCCTACAGAGGTCGGCGGCGGGGCCGTGGCCCCGCGGAGTGCATCAGCCCATCGTGTTCGAGGTCTGTGTGGACACCGTGCTGGGAGTTGGCAAAAACTTGTGGATCCCAATGGTGCGCTGTGTAACCCCATGGGGCTGCAAGTGGAGATCATCTGGGCCCATTCCATTTTCCGGCGTTTCTGAATATCCACCCAGAGCTCAAAACCCGAATTTGCAGAAGTTTGTTCAGAACTGTGAGTGGTGCGTCGGATCCACTCCACCCAAGGTTCCAAGCCGAATCCGTTGTCTTCCGTGCCGCTGTCGTCGGCATTGGTTGTTCGTCTCCGTGGCGAGCCTATGATCATCCGTACCATCCTGCGTTGAGTTGTCATCACAAGCTGTTCCAAAGCAGAAGTCATCGTCCATGATGCGCATCCGTATAAGATTGTAGGTGTCACGATGCCGATAAACAAAAAGGCTGAATATGGTGCGTAATGGGTACGACTGGCACAGCAGTTCTTGTTGGAACAACCAAATCTTCTTCCAGGTGGCTCGAATACGTGCGTCGATTTCCGTCTTCATCCGGTTGCAGAACGTAAGCTGCCGACCCAAATGTTTGTGTGTTTGTGTGTTTGTGTGTACGCCAAGACGATGACGGCGTGGTCCACGCTCACAACCCCCCTTACACCGCCCTGGAGAATGCCTGATTCATGGATGATGGCGCAGTCTACCCTTACTCCCAGGCGACACGGCCCCCCTTACACGGCCCTAGAGGTGGCCTGATTGACGGATGACGGCGTGCCCTACGCTTACGACCCCTTTTACACGGCCCTGGAGGTGGCTTCATTGATGGGTCCTATGGCCCTGGAGATGGCCTGCTGGGATGTATGTCGCCCTCTTTTGTATTCCAAGTTCCTGCTCCTCGGCAAGGTACTTCCTGTGCTTCGTCCTCTGAGCCTGACTTCCTGCGCGTTCGTCTTCTCTCCTTTGTCTCTCTTGTTTCTCTTCTGTCGTTTTTGTTTTGCTCTGTCGTGTTCTTCGCCCTCTCTCTCTGTTGTCTTTTCTCCCGCTTCTGCCGCGTCGCCGCCTTGCTTCGCCTGTTTATTTTTCCGCGCGTCGCCTTCTACGTCGCTTTCGAACGAAAAAGTACACGCCAAAGATCTCAATTTCGAAATCCCCAACCATGGCGTACTCTGGGTTTCTCTTCTGCCGTCGGGCTTCCATGCTCTGCAAAATCTTGGTCTTCGTCGGGTGTAGCTCAAGGCCAGTCCGCCCGGCAGCTTGCATAACGCCCCCCGCTTTCCAGCGCACTTGCGTCAAAGAGAAGAGGTCCCAACCAAGATCGCATCGTCAGCGAAACTCAGATTCGTCAAACGCACGATGTCGAATAAACACAGTCGCAACTCGTACTTTCGTCTGTCTCATGTGTCCCGGCATCCTTTGAACGTATCCTCGGACAAGCAGTTCAAGAGCAAAGAGCTGAGTGGGTCTCCTTGCTTCGTCCCGCAATCTATATTGAATATGTTTGCTTTTCATATATGTAACCACCGTTGTTGTCTGTCTGGCGCACAATTTCGAGATACGAGCGAGGTGCGATGAAGGAACGCCTTGCGAATACATGGCTGCCCGTCGGGATTTATGCGATGCTGTATCGAAAGTCCAGAGCGGCGGTCCACGCAGGGATTTGCCATGCCCACGCCTTCTTGTAACATCACCAGCGTGATCAAATAATCATTAACACTGTAATGCTTCTGGGAACCTGCCTGCTCTGGTGGTTGGCGACGTTCTATTGCAACCACGTGTGATGTTCCAACCTTGTTTAGCCTTGATCACCAGAGAGAATTCCGAACACCAGAAAAGTACCGAAACTCCATGTTTTTTCACGTGTCGGGCCCTGGGATACACTCGTTCCACACTGCTTCGACACTGCCTCGGCACTTTCTCGACATTTTTACGGGTGTTCATAGTTATTTTTGGGATGTGGTCCTTAAGTACGAACGTCGTTGGCCCCACAGTCAGACGCAATGGCAGGCTGCCCCGGAACTTCCACATAAGAAGAAATGGAATGTGGTGGCCAAGGCCGCATCATTGAGACGGCTGGTGGATCCGGAAGGCCGAGCTGGTATAGAGCTGCTCAGCTCCACCGCGACGTGGTCGGAGCCCAAATCCATCGCCGCTGTTGTGCAGCAGTCGGTCGCTGTACGCCAAAAGGCCCTTGATACCATGATGTAGTCCAGATTCTTGGGTCCATTCCGTGACTGGTGATACGTATGTGAATCACCCTCTTGCTTGTGAAACATTGTATTCGTAGTCGCTAGGTTTTCACCGTTCACCTATAGCTTCAACCATTGTCCCCGGGAGTTCTCCTTCCCGTACGCTTGGTTTCTTGAGCGAGGGGGGGAAGTGAGAAGGGGAAGGCCTCTTCAGGAGGCAGCGGGGCTTCTCGAGCCCTCCCGAGAGGTTTTGTCTGCGTTTTCGGGGAAGGCCCAGGAATTTTCTCAGAAGGCAGGGGGGCTTCCGAGCCTTCTGAAAAGGCCCTCCCCTTTTCACTTTCCACGGGGCTCGCCGCCGAGAAAAGGCATGCGGCATATGGGTGCCCGTGTTACCGTCTCTACGTGTTCCCATGGCGCTGCCGCCCCGTTGGGCAGTTCTTTTTGGACTTGAAGCGGTATTTCCCTGTGGCCTTGGCCCAGAAGAGGAAAAGGGCACCCATACCACTACCCTTGCATCGTTTTTTATTTTTTGGTCGGGCTTCTTCGGCGTTCCTCGTCGCTTGTTGGGTTCGCCCCGAGATCCTGATCAGAACGCGCCCCGGGAGAGGCCTGGGCAGCAGCGGCACCGGCAACTCTTCGTTACCTCATTGGCCCGAGGGCGTCGCCCGCCTTAGGCTACCCTGGGTCAGGAGCGCATTGGGCAGCCCGCGGGGGGAGGAGATGCTGTGCCCTCAACGTCGAGCGGCCGCGGTGCGCGTGGACGGCAAGCAGTCTCGACCCGTTGTGCCCCCCTCCATGCCTTTCGCACCGCCGGAAGGGCGGCCCCTAGATGCCCCTCGCACTGCAGGGGGATGAAACACAGTCGCGGGCAGCGTGGCCAAGATGCTGGATCTGCGTCTCTCTGATCAAGCCGGGGTCGCTTTAGTCCAGGGCCGCTTCCGACATCACCCGGCAAGAGGAGAAGCGCCTGCGATCTCTCGCCCCCAATCCCCGAGATCCCCCCTGTTCTAAATTGGCCGCTCCCAGGAAGGGAGGGAATCTCGGGGATCCCCCCCCAGGGGGCTATTCGGACGCACCTCTCGAAGATGAACGCCTCCCCCCATCCCACAAACCCGAGTGGAGCCCCGAATGTGTTTGTTGTGTCGAGCCGGAATTGCCACAAAGTCGGTGATTGAGGTCGCCATACCCTCCTCCTCCTCCTCCTCCTCCTCCTCCTCCTCCTTTTCCTCCTCCTCCTCCTCCTCCTCTTCCTCCTCCACCCTCCTCCTCCTCCTCCTCCTCCTTGCGACTGGATGGGTCCGCTGGAACAGAAGCCACGGCGCGGAACTCGCTAGATGCTAGAAAGGTGCGGGGGCGAGGGCCGTGGGCTTCCGAGCAACCAAAAAGGGTCCGGACGTTGGGGGAAGGCTGGAAGGGCTGGGGCCAGCACGGAGCATCCGCAACCCTTGTTTGAAGGGGTATTATTGTTTTATGTTTTCCGTGTTCTTGCTATTCACCTTGTAATGTTGTTCGTTTTGGGTATCTCCATGGAACCTCGGGCATTCGGCGGTTAGGTTCATGCTCTCGACCCCGGCGCAGTCGCGGCGCAGCCGAAGCCCTTCCCTGGTCGACGGCTTCTTGCGCCCTCGCACACGTTCCATTCGATTTCGGTTGATGGCCTGTCGTCACGTCGTCGCTGCTTTCTGTTGCTATGGCTGCTGCCTTCTGTGGCGCCTGGAGGTAGCCCCTCGCCGACAGGGCCGGGCTCGGCTCGATTAATCTGCCGAGATGGCCCTGGGGGGAGTCCTGGGGACGGGCTCCCTGATCTTGAGCGGAAGCAGTAGATCCAGGCCTCCCAGATGGAATCAGAGTAGATGGGGTCGCAGGATCGCGCCGCATCGCCGATGTGGAGCGAGAATTTTTCCACGCCGACGGCAACGATGCATATGGGAAGCGGCGCGATCCTCCGACCCCATCTACTCCGACCGTATTTGGGAGGCCTCTAGTAGAGTGGGTGTGGACGATCGATCCCGCGCCCGGCTCGCAGTGTGTCGCGGGCCAAAGAGTGTGCGCAGTTGATGAGGTTCGGTCGATGGCAGCGAGCTAAGGTACCGCGACGGGGGCCTGGCCAGGGCCAGCTTCGAGCTGGTGGCCAGCACGAGCGAGCCGCACTTCGTCGACAGTGAGCTCGTCGCAGGACGAGTGTATAACTACCGCGTCTCCGCCGCGAACAGTGTCGGCGAGGGCGTGGTGAGCAGCTCATTCTCGCTGACAGCTCCCGGGTATCCGAGCCCAGCGTCTGTGCCAACCGTTGTCCGGGTTTCCAGGCGCGAGGTGGAGATCGCGTGGAGCGCAGAGAGCGTCGACGGAGACGAGGGCGTCCCCGGCAGCGCGGCCACGGGGTATGCCGTCTTGCGCGACGGCCAGCAGATCTTCCCCGACAACGGCACGGCCGACACCTCGAACGCCACTGGGGCTGCGGTGGAGCTGTCCTCCGGAGTGGTGGGCGACGGGATCACTTGGGAGCCGGTGGTGCCCGATGCCCAGTCGTCGGGCGGCGCAATCGCGGTCGGGGGTGCCCGATGCGAGCTGGACGGCCTGGAGGGCCGGGTTGTGTTGAGTTTCGTTCCCAATGTCAGCGGCCTCGCGAGGGTGTTCGTCACGGTCAGTTCCAGCACCGCGGAGCGGCGAGGCCACCTAAACGCCACGTTGTTCGGGGCCGCCGTGTCCGACAGCGTGGCGGAGGCCATGGCGGTCGTGACCACGGCGGCCACATCCCGCGCAGCAGGCGTGCCTGCCTACTCGTGGCATGCGGCCATGGAGGCGTCGCTGTCTCCGCTGAGGCAGGGCTCTGCGGACGTGGCCGCGGTGCTGGCGAGGCACGGCTGGAGGGCGGGGCGATTCGGCACCGTCCTCGACCTCGACGCGTTGCATGAAGACCTGGCTCTCGCACGGGCACGCCTGGGCGTGGACGTGGAGGGGGAGAGCACCTGCCGTTCGTCGAACATCGTTACGGCCGGCGTCCAGCAGCAGCTAAACCTCACAGGTTGCCATCTGACAGAGGGCAGCTACTACAATGCGCTCATATTCCTGGAGGGCTCTGACGACGGCAGCGAGATAATGACTCGGTACGCCATCTCGGTCTGCCAGGTGGTCCGTTCGGCTGAGGAGCGGAACACGTTTGTCGACTTGCCCAGCCTTTGGTCGCTGGATGCCGTCGGCGGCGATGCCCTCTCGATCCGGCTCGTGGCCAACGAGGGCTTCGCGTGGGCGGTGGTGGTGGATTCCGAGGAGCTCGCGGCAGCTGGCAAGGGCACCTTCTCCGCGAAGGACGTCGTCAGGGCCAGCTACGCCGTCGGGCGCCCCTCTTGCCGAAGCCGCGCCGTCCCGATCGACGGCGGGGTGCAGATCCTCGAGCTCAGCGGCTGCGGGCTGCTGGTGGGGCGCCTGTACCTGACCTTCGTGTACGTCGGCAGCACGGCGGGTGGCCCCCTGCTTGAGGAGGCGCCGCTCACCGACGCGCTGCTGCTTGCGAACGGGACGCTCGCTGCGGGCCCCGAGGTGGTGGTGCCCGACCTCGCGGTCTCTGGCTTCCAGTGGTCGTGCCACGGCACTTCGTGCCCTTCGCCAGGCGGCCTGCCGGTAATCGAAGAGGCGGCAGGCGCAGGCGTTGCCTTGGTGCCCGATCTCGACGGGCGCGTCGCGTTCGAGGTGGTCGGCTGGGGCCCAGGCGAGGCGGCGCAGATCACGGTGCGGGGGCCCGCGATCGTCTCCATCGAGAACGTCAGCATGCCCGCGGGTACCTGCTCTGAGGCGTCGCTCACTGCCAGCGCGCTCTTGGGCGGCGCAGGCGCGGCGGACCCGCTGCGGACGGACTTGTCGATTCACTTCTGCGGCTCCGACTTCGAGCTGCCTTACCACCGACACCGGCGCCTCGCGGAGGGCGAGGCCGCCCTGTTCTCCTGGCGCTCGGCGGCGGGGGCGTCGCGGGTGGGCTCAGGCTACGGCTGGCGGGTCGCGCTCGCACCGCCGGCCAGGGCAGAGATCTCCTGGCGCCGCAGGTTCCGAGACCGTGCCGCGGAGGAAGGCGTTGAGCACACGTACCAGGTCCGCGGGCAGGGCCAGTTCGGCCTCGGGGCCGCCTCGGCTCCGTCGCGGACCGCGCTCGTCGCGGACCCGCCGGCCGCGCCCCCGCGGCCCAGGGTGACGGCTCAGAGCTCCTACGGCATCTCGCTGGCGTGGGGCCTCGCTGCGAGCGGCGGGGCGCCGGTGCTGGAGTTCGTGCTGTACCAGCGGCTGTCCTCGCGCGGGGCAGCGGGCGACGAGCCGCCTGGCCCGTGGGTGGAGGCGTACCGCGGCCCAGCGCGGGCGCACACCGCGCGGCCCGTGCGCCCCGGCCGCGCGTACGACTTCGCCGTGGCGGCGGCCAACCTCGCCGGTGAGGGCGCGCCGAGCGAGGTGCTCGGGCGCGTGTGGGCGTGCTCCGCTCCTGGGCCGGTCGAGGGCCTGCGCGTGGGCGGGCAGAGCGCCCGAGACGTGCTCGTGGAGTGGCGGGCGCCCCGGGACGAGGGCGGGTGCCCGCTGACGTCACTCGGGCTCCAGCTGCCGGGGCTCGCGGAGCGGCGGCTGGACCCGAGCGCCGGCGGGCGCGTCAGGCTCACGGAGGGCGACGGCCTGGCGCGCGGGGAGAGCAGCGTCGTCGGCCTGAACGCCAGAAACGCCGCTGGGGTGTCCGCGACCGCAACCGTCACGGTGCACTTCTTCGCCGCGCCGGCCGTGGTCGAGCTCTCCGCGTCGGTGCACGACGCCGACGGTATCCAGCTGCACTGGGAGCTCGCCGCAGGCAGCAGCGGCCCGGCGGTCACTGGCTACCGTGTCTACGTCGACCTCGGCTGGGGCGTCGAGCGGCTCAGGACGGTGATGGCCGACCGCGACGCGTGCAGCGTTGCTGGGGGGCCCGCCAGCTACACCGAGACCGTCGCGGGGGGGGTGCGGAGCATCCAGGGCGCGGGCTGCCCGAATCACTTCAACGCCTGCCAGAAGCCACGCTGCGACGGCACGAGCTCCGACGCCGTGCCGACAGTCGGCTCCTACAGCGTCCTGGAGGAGCCGATGCTGCTTCCGAACGGCTCCTTTTCAGGATCCATGCGTTGTAGCCCCTCCTCGCTCGGCGTGGCCCTCAACGGCGTGCCCATCGCTGGCCCTGCGGGCACCAGTGCCTCCAGCGGGGGCGGATGCGGCGACTTTGTGTCAGAAAGCGCCGGCAGCATCGACGCGTGCGGCGGGTTCGCAGACGCGTCCGGCGTGTACAGGTACCACATGCTGCCGGTCTGTTTCTTGGCGCAGCTCGGCGCTGTGGATTGGGCGCACTCCCCGCAGGTTGGCTGGAGCCTCGATGGCTTCCCCATCTACGGGCCACGTGGTCCTGGGGGCGTAGCGATGGTGCCGTGCTCAATCCGGGCGAGGCACCTCCCGCCAGGGCCATGCTTGGACCCATGCGGCGGCTACGAGAGCGCCCTGCCCGAGGTTGACAGCTTTCTGTACCGCTACTACCTCCCGGGGCCGCTCGGCGACCTCGGCTGTGGCCAGCTCTGCGACGTGGCTGGCGGGGCCGGCTGCTGCGCACAGGCCGTGCCCGGGCCCGAGCTGTTTCCGTATACGTTGGGGTGCTTCAGGGGCTGCACGCAGGCAGAGGTGGACGCGGGGCGATGCAGCGGCACGTCGGGCTTGGCGGGGCCAGCGCCTCCAGCCTCCGAAGGAGTCGTGGCGTCGTACACGCACCCGTCGCTGGTTGCCGTGCTGGAGTCCGTCGGTGTCCAGGAGTCGCGGGGCTCCTTGACACTCAGCCGGCAGGAGATCCTGCGGCTGCGCGACGGCAGCCCCGTCTCGCCCGAGGTCTGCTTCCAGGTCGGCGCGCTCAGCGCCGCCACGGCCCTGGGCCTGGAGCCGGAGCTCAGCCAGCAGGCGTGCGTACCACTGGCCCAGACGCCCACCGAGCCCAGCGGCCTGCGCGCCCTGCGGCGCACCCGCGGGGCGATGACGCTCACCTGGGACGAGTCTGTCACTGACGCGACCCACCCGCTCTTGGGCTACCGGGTGAGGATGCGGAGCGCAGGCTCGGGCGCGGGCTGGCAGACGCTGGCGCTGACGCTGCCGGGCAGTAGGAGGGCCGTGGTGGACCCGTGCGAGGCCGGCGCGCTCTACGAGCTCGAGGTGCTGGCGGAGAGCGGGGCAGGGTGGAGCCGGCCCGCCGCGGCGACGCTGGCGTGCGCGGTGGCGCCGGGGCCGCCGCTGCTGTCGCTCCCGTCGGCCAGGCTCGTGCGCGGCAGGGAGGGCCTCGCGTGCAGGTGGGCGCTCTCGTGGGCGGTCGCAGACGACGGGGGCGCGCCGGTGCTGCTGCACCGCCTGTACCGCGCGGGCGCGGCGGGGCCGCACGCGCTCGTGTACGAGGGCGCGCTGCCGGGCTTCACGGACGTGGTGCAGGAGCGGCCCGAGGAGCAGTTCTCGTACGTGGCGGCCGCGGTCAACGAGGACGCATCCCCTCAGCGCCTTTTCGCGGGGGGGTCGGCACAGGTACGGAAAGCATGGCAGGGAAAGCAGGGTCATCGCGAATAATAAGATCATACCCCTACCCGCCTGACACGACGATGAAGACGCGGCCTCACTCAGGTTCCCGTCTTCGCATTGGGGGTAATCCATCTGGGCGGTTTGGTCCGATACTTCTGCAGGAACGACCCCTGCCCCTGGTGCTCTTGGCCCTCCCAACTCAGGTCCCCTCCCACAGGGTTATAGGGGGGGTACTCCAGATTTCGTAATAAAAGGGAGGGGTCTGGACCCTCCAAGACAAGCCATTTCAGACCCCCCCCGTGGGAGAACCCCCCAAAACATCGTCCCCAGACCCCCCCAGGCCCTCCAAGATAGCCTGGAAGAGACCCCCCCCGAAATGAGACCCCCCTCCCTTTAATAAAGGGAGGAGGGGTCGTGGGAATCTTCGGGAGGTTCTGGGGTCATCGGGGTCCCGGAGTCCTGGGGGTCATCGGGGTCCTGGGGTCCGGACCAGAGGGGAAAGGGGTTCGGTTCGGTTCCCGTCGGTTCGGTTCAGGGGCCGCCCGGTTCCGGTTCGGTTCCGGTTCTGGTTCGGTTCGGTCCTCGCCGGTTCGGTTCTGAATGAATTCGGTTCGGTCCGGTTCGGTTTTTTACGTTCCTGGTTTTGGACCGGTTCGGTCCGGTTCGGTCACGGTTCTCGGTTCTCGGTTCGGTGCGGTCTTTTCATGCTTTATTACGAAATCTGGAGTACTTCTCTTGCCTGTCAAAGGGGTGCTCCCTGGCCAAGATGTCCCCAGCTTCTGGCGCCGGCGGGGAGCCGCCGGGGCCCTCTGCGCCTCGTGCCCGGGTGCCCCGGAGGCCACCTCTGGACTTCGGGGAGCGCCCGGGGGGCACCCCGATCGGGGGTCCCCAAACGGGGTGGTGTTTACTCAGGAGGGAAAGAAACACACAGACACAATTAATCGTCGATTTCCCAGAAAATATGGGAAAATATGGGAATTGGGCGGGAAGACAAAAACCCAGAAAATATGGGAAAATATGGGGAATCCTTTTATTTGTGTGTACTTATTTGTGTGTCCCAGGGCCCCTTCATTTACACCGTGCGGTGAGTCGGTGGGGATGCGGGGCCACTGCGCGGTTTTGGGCCTCGGGTCCTTCTCAGAGGACGTCTCGGGCGACTGGGGCCTCCAGGGTCCCCAAGATCGTGCGTTGGCGGACCGTGCGGTGAGGTCTTGGGGGATTCCGAGGTCACCGCACGGTCTGTCACCGCACCTTTTTGGGGGATTCCAATCTTGGGCCAGGGACAGTTTGATGCAAGCCCAGAAGTGCGGCGGTGAGCGAGGGGGGAAAACGAGAAGGAGAAGGCCTTCTCAGAGGGCGGCGTGACTTCTCAGGAGCCCTCGCGCCTTCTGGGAGGTCTGCTGTGGCGTCGGGGCAGGCTTGAGAAACCTTTCAGAGGGCCGGGGGACTTCCCAGCCTTTTCAGAAGCAAGCCCCGAAACGTCAGGATCGAGATAAGGACGTACATGTACATGAATCCACGTGGGTTTCGAGAGTACGTCTTGCGCGAAGGTTCGTATCACGCGGCTGGTATCGCGGATTGAGGGGGTGTGCTTTTGTGCATGGTTGGGCGCGTACGCCATTTTTGGTTTCCCTAGAACTCGGGGCGACGACCGTGAGCAGTCCTTGTCCACTGCAGACAGGGCTCGCTGTACTGTTTGTGTTGTGGGGGCCTCGTCCGTCTGGGACATGGGTCACTGCCCAACAGCGGCCGTCGCTGGTTTCGGGCGACATTTAAACAGTGGGGCATGTCCCCCTCAGTTCCATCCACTTCGCGGGCGTGCCAGTGCCCCTCTGTTCCTCTCCGTGCCTCCAGTCGAGACGTCGGAATACAGCCAAACTCATCGGCAAAGATGGGCCAGTTCTCCCCAGGTGTCCTTTCAAATCTTCAGGCTTCTCGGCCGCGCGGTGCTGGACAGGCTTCCACTTGGGCGCCCACGGCGTTGATCGTGTTACTGCGTGTCCTTACTCTAGGTTTTGACTGTATCGGGGACTCTTGGTTAGGAAGGGCGCTTGGTATACATTGCGTAGGCTCCGTCCTCCAGTCAGCAATACCGATCTACAGTCAGGCGATCGCAAGCATGGATCAAGGGGGCGTGGATTAGCGACGGTTCCCGTTTCCATTGGAAATCGCGGATTTCTGTCGCCGAACGAGGCAGCATTGGCCGCATTTTGGGGAGGGCACCTCCCCACGTCCATGTACGTGGCGACCGCGCGTTAAATCCATGGATCGCTAATCCATGCCTGCGCGCCCCCGGTACACTGTGCAGAATGGTCGGGAGCGAAAGAAGGACTTACATGTACATGAATCCACGTTGTTTTCGAACATACGGACTGCGCGAACGTTCGTAACACGAGGCTGGTCTCGCGGACTGGAGGGCCGTGTTTATGTTGCGTGGTTGGGCGCGTATGTCCTTTGTGGGCTCAGGAAGCGTCCCGGTGTTCCAAGTTGGACAGCGGGATCGGGCAACACAGGCTTTGGATGGACCGCAGCAAACTCAGTCCCCAGGCCCCCCTCGTGATTCGTGATTGACGCCCACGCATTTGTCCTTGGAAGGCGGCGGCTGCCGAAGGCAACGGCGCACGTTTGATGCTTCGATTGACTCGTCTGCTACCTCGCATGCTGTTTTTCTGCTTCCCCCCTCCCTCCCCCTCCCTCCTCCTCCTCGCCTCCCTCCCTTCCCCCTCCCTGCTCCTCCCGTTCCCTCCCCCCCCCTCCGCTCGCGACGAGGCCGCTCGCCGCCCCCCCCCCCCCCCCGCGACGGGGGAGGCCCCCGAGGGCCAGCCCGTCCGGCCTCTGCCGCCCGCTCCCCGGGCTCCCGGGGCCGCAGCCTCGAGCACCCGAGCCGGGGGGGAGCCCCCACCCGGACCCCGACAGCCGGCGTTTACGAGCTGGCCCTGCTCCTCCTCCCTCCTCCTCCTCCTCCTCCTCCTCCTCCCTCCTCCTCCTCCCCTCCCTCCTCCTCCCTCCTCCCTCCTCCTCCTCCTCCCTCCTCCTCCTCCTCCCCTCCTCCCCCCTCCTCCTCCTCTCCTCCTCCTCCTCCTCCTCCTCCTCCTCCTCGGCGGGGAGCCGGCCGACCAGGGTGGTGGGGTAAAGGGAGCCGGGGCCGCGAGGGGCGGGCAGCGAGGCCGGGGCCGCGAGGGGCGGGCAGCTGGCCGAGCAGCCCAACAGCCTTGTCCTGCTCGATGCCGTCCTCGGGCGCGTTTGCGAGGTGGCTTCGGCTGTCGGGGTGCCTGTCACGGGGGTGGGTTTCCTGCCCTCCACGCGAGGCGGTGGCGCAGGCGGTCCCGATCAGAGGGCGGAGCGGTGCGCTGCCCGCCGTCCTCTCTAGCCTGATGGCGTTCGTTCCCGCGGACGCTACCGATCAGGAGGGAACAAAAACACAGACGCAATGAGTCGTCGGTCCCCAGGAGACTACGGGAGCACATGGGAAGTGGGGGGAAGACGAAAACACAGACACCATGGGAATCAAGGGAACCTCCTGGGATTCGTGTCTATTTGTGTGTGTGTGTGTGTGTCCCTGGGCCCCTTTAATCGAGTCGGTGCCCACCCTCCCTCCATCCCCCCCATTATCGTCCCATTCATGAAACAAAAGAGTCTCCTCGACGACTCGAACAGACGAGTTCCTCGGCGATCTGTGTATGCAGCGGCCTTCAAAAAACAACGAATACTCATGCAGTGGCCCTCGACTCAAGCTGACACTTCTACAGAAAGCGGCCTGGTGTTTTGATCCTGCCGCACACCAGCTTGAGGCAAAAAGATCGCTGCGGTGAGCGGCGCAGGGAAGAGAGCGCCGCACCACACACGCAGCCTCCATGCATTCTTCCCCGTCCTCGCCCCCCATGCATCCGCATCCCGTACACGTGGCCCGAGCAAGATGGCGTTACGCTCTTGCGTCATGATCTTCCGCTTCGCTTTCTGGCGCCGTGTCGCTCGCGATTGTCCCGCCAGAAGGTTTTGTTCGAAAGGGGCGCTTTCTGCCATAACTGGCAAGGCCCCCCCGGGTTCGAAAAGGGGAGGAGGGAAACTCCCCCCCGCTCCCTCCGAGACGGGCTCCGAGACGGGAGGTGCGGACGTTGGAATGGGACAAATTGCGACCAATTCGAATAATTCCAGCCTGCAAACCGCTGTGGTATCAATTCCAACAGTTTTAGTATGAATTCCAATCAACCTTCGGGAGAACCCTCACAGGCATTTGACGGATGTCTCTCAGAGGCGTCTCAGACAGGCGTCTTACAGGCGTCCTGGAGATGCTTTTAGCAGGCGTACGGGCGTCTTAGAAGCGTTTCTGAGAGGCGCCTTACAGGCTTCTTACGGGCGTCTCTGAGAGGCGTCTCTGAGAGGTGTCTCTGAGAGGCGTCTTACAGGCGTCTCTGCGAGGAGCCTCACAGGCGTCTCTGAGATGCGTCGTGCAGGCGTTTCTGAGAGGCGTCCTCCCAGCGTCCCTGAAAGGCGTCTCTGAGAGGCGCCTCACAGGCGTTTCTGAGGGGCGCCTTCCAGGCGTTTCTGAGAGGCGTCTTCGAGACATCTCTGAGAGGCGTCCTACAAGTGTCTCTGAGGGGCGTCTCTGAGAGGCGTCTCTGAGAAGCGTCTTACAGGCCTCCGTGGGAGAGAGACGTCTTACGGGTGTCTTACGGGCGAACTGGAGACACCCCTGAGTGGCGTTTTTGAGGGGCGTCTCTTGGAGGCGTCTTACAGGCGTCTACGGGCTGGCGTCTCTGCGGGGCGTATGTGAGGGGCGTTTGGGAGGCCGCCCCATCAGGCGTCTTAGAGGCGTCTCTCTGAGGCGTCATACAGGCATCTCTGAGAGGCGTCCCTGAGAGGCGTCCTGCAGGCGTCTCTGAAGGGCGTCTCCGAGAGGCGTCTTTATAGGTGGCTCCGAGAGGCGCCTCAGACCTTGAAGCCCGCAGGCCCGCATGCCTTGCGACCCGTAAGCCCTGAGGCCCTGAGGCCCCTGAGCCGTTAAACCTTGTGTGCCTCAAGCCAGTCAACCTTTTAGCCCCGGCACCCTTAAGCCCGTAACCCCTTCATCACGTAAACCGTTAACCTTTAAATTCTTGAACCTTTAATCGCACAGAGCCTCTAAGCACTGACGTCCGTACCCTTTGAACCCTCAAGATTATTGCCCCATCATGCCTTTATGTCCTTAAGCCCTAAGACATAAAGCCCTCGATCCCCCGACATGCCGAAGTCAGATGCCCAGACAACCTGTTCAACTTTGAAACTAAAGTTCGAACCATTTGATCCCTCAACCCTGAAGTTTTGAAACCCTTCAGCATGGCCCTTCAAGGTCTCAAACCCTTACATCTGGAAGCCTAGAACGAAGAAGCCCTTAACCCTTACACCTTTAAGCCCTGTGGAACTCTTCTTAGCCTTCAAAGTCCTTAAGCCCTTAAAACGAGATGACCGGAACACCCTTGTCAGGGTTGTCCGGCGTTTGCATTTTCTTCATAATCTTGGGACACATACGTCTTTTTTCAGGATCACCGCCACTCACAGTTTCACATCGTCGCCATGTCAACCATGTTAGTTTCTGGAGTATATGTGCACGCGTCAGCAGATTATGCGGTTTGGGGATGTCTTAACATCGGCTCACACTTAGAATCATACAGGGAGGATATTTGGCTGGTTGGAATCGTATCAGTTTTCCTGTTCGTGTTGGTGGGACAAATTTCCTGTTGGTCGGGATCGTTCCCAGTTGGTTGGGATTCGTCTGACATGCGGGCGGACCCCCTCCCTGGTTGGGACCGGGGGGGGGGATCCCGGAAACGTGACCAATTACAACCATCTGATACAAGTGTCAACAGTTGTGGTATTGATGCCAACCTCTTCGGTATTAATTTTAACCACTTCGGCATACAGTCTTACAAACCCAGACCGGACACCTTACAGGTGTCTCTGAGAGGCGTTTTACAAGCAGATCTGAGGGGCACCTTACAGGCGTTTCTGAGAGGCTTCTTACAGGCGTGTCTGAGAGGCGTCTCTGAGAGACGTCTTACGGGCGTCTCTTCGAGGGGTCTCTGAGAGGCGTCTTACTGGCGGATTCGAGGGGCGCCTTACAGGCGTTTCTGAGAGGCGTCTTGCGTCTCACAGGCGTTTCTGAGTGGCGCCTTACAGGCGTTTCTGAGAAGCGTCCTACAGGCGTCCCCGAGGGGTGTCTCTGAGAGGCGTCTCTGAGTGCAGTCCCTGAGAGGAGCCTTACAGGCGGCTCTGAGAGGCGTCTGAAACCTTTTTAACTTGTAGCCCTTAATCCCGTAAGCCCTTAAACCCTGACACATTTGAGCAGTGAAACCCTTAACTGGCAAGCTCTTAATCCCTAAGTCCAAGTCCATAAGCTCTGCAACCCTCAAGCCCCTTCACACTGAATCACTTATTATACCCATAACCTGCAAATTCTTAAATCTGTAATCGCTTGAAACCTTGAGCACTTAAACCCTTACCCCATTAAGCCCTTGATCCCTTAACCCCATTAAGCCCTCAAGTCCATCAACCCTACAACCTTGGAACCGTTGATCCTCCCAGGCAGCCCGAAAACCAAATACCCAGGCGACCCGTTTAACCCGTATGTCCCTAGGCTTTGAAACCATGTTAACCTCAAACCTTGGAGCCCTTACGCACTTGTGCCACTAAGCCCTTAAACCCTGACGCTCTTAAACGCTTAATCCTTTAGCTCTCAAACCCTTACGCCTTTCGAGCCCTCGAACCCTAAGCCTTTTAAGCCCTTGAAGTACAGTACTGGGACAACCCTTGTCAGCGTTGTCGGGGGTTCGTACTTTCTTTTGTTATTCTAGGATGTAATGTATTTCTTCGTGGCCACGGGCATCCGCATCATCTTGAGTTCCTCATCATCTCACAACGTGGTTGGTCAACGTTCCAAATCGCATGGCGGGCCGGGGGTGCCTTGAAGGCTCCAACAAGGTTCAGAAGGGGCCCCGGACCCCCCCCAGAGGCTCCCAAGCTGGCCAAGAGGCGCCCAAAGCGCCCCAGGTTGTCTGGAAGGTGGCTGGAGAGCGCACTGAGATGGCTTCCAGACGGGCCACGAGCGCTCGAAGACAGCCCAAGACAGCTCCTAGACGGCCACAAAGGTACTCAAGACGGTTCAAGAGGCCGCCGAGAAGGCCCTCCAAGGGCAAAGATCAAGCATTTCTTTTTGAAATGGGTCGATTTCCTGGATATTTGCTTTTCAGTCCTACCAGCGGCCGCGACGGCGCCGGAGGCTTCCAAAATGAGCCCCAGACGGCCCAGGAGGCCTCAAAGAGGGCCCCCAGACGGCCTGAAGAGAGCTTCTTGCAGCACAAGAGAGCTCCAACACGGCCCAAGAGAGTGCCCAGCAACCCCGAGGGGGCCACAGGAGGATCCCTGCATGGTCGGAGAGGGCCCCCCGAGGGCTCCAAGACGGGCTCAGGTCCCCATGACGTGCGAAGAGGGACCCAGAACGGCCGTTCCAGAGGGTACAAAAAAGGCCTACCAGGACTCCCTGAAGACGGTCGAGGAGGCCGCTGAGAAGGCTCCCGGGTGCAACAAATTAGCATTTCCCATGGAAAACGTACATTTCTATGAGATTATGAGATTCGCTTCTTATGTTCCATCGGCGGCCACGTCGGCCCCAAAGGCTCCCCAAATCGGCGCCACACGGTCCACGAGGCCCCCAAGAGGGCTCCAAGGCAGCCTCAAGAGAGCGTCGAGCAGCACAAGAGAGCTCAAAAACAGCCCGAGAGAGTCCCCAGGGGGCCCGAGGGAGCCAACGGAGGATCCCGGAGAGGGCTCCATGAGGTCCCCAAGACGGCTCAGCTACCCATGACATGCCAAGAGGGGCTTGGGACAGCCGAAGTGGGCTCCCAGACGGGCCACAAAAGGGCCCAAAGGACCCCCCCACGACTGTCGTAGAGGCCGGCCCTCCAACGACAAAATCAAGCATTTCCTATGGAAAAACGTATATTTCTGGGAGCTTCGCTTTTCAGTTCTACCAGCGGTCGCGACGGCCCAAGAGGTTACCAAAATGGGCCCCAGACGGCCCCAGAGATCCCAAAGAGGGTTTCAAGACGGGCTGAAGAGAGCTTCAAGCGGCACAGAAGAGCTACAAGACGGCCCAAGAGAGCCCCCAGGAAGCCCGAGGGGGGCACCAGAGGATTCCTACGTGGTCGGAAAGGCTTCAGGAGGGAGGGCCCCAGGACGGGCTGAGCTCCCCACAACGAGCCAAGAGGGACCCGGAACGGCCGAAATGGGTTCTCAGACGGGCCAACAAAGACCCCAAAGCATAACAAAGGAAGGCCCAGAGAGGCTCCAGAGACTGCCACAATGCTTCCAAGAAGGCTCCTGGCACGCGTTCCAGTAGACAGCCGTGTTCTGGGTGCGTTGAGAGAAGAGGAGGAGGAGGACAAGCAGGAGGAGGACAAGGAGGAGGAGGAAGAGCCAGAGGAGAATGAGGTGGAGGAGGAGGAGGAGGAGGAGCAGGAGGAAGAGGAGGAGGAGGATGGAAATGATGAGGATGACAATTATGACGATGATCATGACCCTAGCAAGAACTTGGGCGCGCGCGAATTGCGCGCGATGGTTCTGCACCTTGGTCCTTGAGGTGTGGTATGCAGGCGGAATGGCAGGAAGGTTGTTGTTGTTGTTGCTGCTGCTGCTGTTGTTGTTGTTGTTGCTGTTGTTGTTGTTGGTGTTGGTGTTGTTGTTGTTGTTGTTGTTGTTGTTATTGTTGTTGTTGTTGTTGTTGTTGTTGTTGTTGATGTTGTTGTTGTTGTTGTTGCTGTTGCTGTTGCTGTTGCTGTTGCTGTTGTTGTTGTTGTTGTTGTTGTTGTTGTTGTTGTTGAACATTATTACTTCTAAAGAATAATTATTGTTGGGACCGCTGGTGCATGGCCCCCCCGCCGCGCCTAGGCCGCAGCCACGTTTTCATCATTTTCGTGAGGAAGTCTCAAGCAAAACGGGTTGGTCCAGATCCGGTTGTTTTGTTACGGGCGGTTTTCCCTTGCAAAAAATAAGCTAAAGTGGACATTTCTTGTTCTAACATAACCAAACTTCAATAACCCCTTGCAAAAAATAAGGTAAAGTGGATATTCGCGCGCGCAAGACGAAATCCTTCCAAAACCTCTGTTTCCGTAACGATTTTAACATAAAAACATAAAAAAAAACAATGGTTTTTCAAAAAAAATTGTCAAACTTTCATCCCGCGCGCTCTTGCGGATTCGTAGGAAACCCAACACTTTTTCAACATTTCTGTCAAACGGGCTTTTGCGAGCAACTTTTTCAAACTTCTGCAACAACGGTTGCGCACCTGCCAGGGCCATCATCCCTGTCAAATAATACCATGCGGGACACATTCGTTTTTTCTTCGCGCGCGCACGCCGTCGTCGTCGGCCGCGGGGCCCTGAATAGTAGCCACGGTCGTCCGCATGCCACGAAGTGAAGTGTCCGAACGTCATAGGGCGGGAAGCTGGGTGTGGGTGGTGGCGAAGAGTCGTTTGGAAATTTGGTAGAGCTTGAACCGGCCCCCCCACAAAGTGGGGGTATTGCCCGCCTCCTATGAAAACCCTGGCACTGGTGAGAACGGAGTGTCCCCACGTGCTAGTAATTGTTGTTGTTGTTGTTGAACATTATTAATTCTAAAGAATAATTATTGTTGGGCCCCCTGGTGCGCGCCCCCCCCGCCGCGCCTAGGCCGCAGCCACGTTTTCATCATTTTCGTGAGGAAGCCTCAGGTAATTCGAGTTGATCAAGATCCGGTTGTTTTGTTGTAATCCGCTTTCCCTTGCAAAAAACACTATAAAATGAAATTTCTTGTTCTAATATAATCAAATTTCAAGAATCCCTTGCAAAAAATAAGGTAAAGTGGACATTCGCGCGCGCAAGACGAAATCCTTCCAAAAGCTTAGTGTTCGGAACGATTTCAACATAAAAACATCAAAAAACCAATGGTTTTTCAACAAAAAAATGTCAAAATCTCATCCCGCGCGCTCTTGCGGATTCGTAGGAAACCCAACACTTTTTAAACATTTCTGTCAAACGGGCTTTTGCGAGCAACTTTTTCGAACTTCTGCGACAACGGTTGCGCACCTGCCAGGGCCATCATCCCTGTCAAATAATACCATGCGGGACACATTCGTCTCTCTGTATTATGTATTGTATGGCACAATTGCACCATGCTGGGCACATGCGCGCCCCGAATAAGTGACCAAGTTCTGTGGGTGTGTACCCCACGCCAGTGTAGTAGCCACGGTCGTCCGCACGCCACGAAGTGAAGTGTCCCAACGTCATAGGGCGGGAAGCTGGGTTTGGGTGGTCGCGAAGAGTCGTTTGGATATTTGGTAGAGCTTGTAATGCCCCCCCACGAAGTGGGGGTATTGCCTGGTGTCGTATGAAAACCCTGGCACTGGGGAGAACACCACGCGTTCGGGTAAAATGATTGTTGTTGTTGTTGTTGTTGTTGTTGTTGTTTCTGGCATCGCCGTTATCATAATGCTATTCGTTATCATTCCTCAATGTTTTTTCCTCATTCTCGTGATACCCTCCGTATTTTCCCCGTCCTCCTCCGCTCTTTTTGCGGATGCTCTTCCTTGGAAAACCTCTGGGGGCCTCGCTGAAATTTTTCAGGCTTTCTCAAGGCTTTCTGGAGGCCCCCTGGGCGTCTTCTGGGGGCCTCTGGGGGCTTCCTCGGGCCGCCCTGCCTCCAACCGCGGTCTCCTTGAACGACCGGGTCCCGATTTGGAATATTTCGGAGGGTGTATTGGGGCCATCTTGGGCCGTCATGGGGCTCTCTTGAGCCATCTTGGAACCCTGTTGTGCCGACCTGGGGCTCTCCTTGGACTGCCTGAGAGCTCTTTCGGATGGTTGTGGGGCGGTCTTCGAGCCTCCCAGGCGGCTTCGGACGCCCAGAAGACCGCCGTCTTGAAGCGTCGGGAAGCCGAAAAGAGAACCCCAAAAATCACCAAATTACCATCAGAAAATCAATGAATTTTGCCTCTTGGGGCCTTGTTGCGAGTGCTCTTGGAGGCCTCTTGAAACGTTTTTGGAACGATATTTGGGGGTGTAACGGCTTCTTGGCGGTCGTCGTGGACCGTCTTGGGGCTTTTTGGGGTCGTTTCGAGAGCGCGCCGGAACGCCTGGAGCCCTCTGGGCCGCCTTCGGGCTCTCGTGGGGTTCTCCCGCGGGTCGTCTGGAGGGTTGCCCGAGAGGCCCGGGGTGGGCCAAATTCTTTGGAGGGGGGGCTTTTTC